GCATTCGCGTCGTACGCGGGGCCACACACACTGAAAATTTAATACGACCCATGAGTGCTGGTGGTGCCGACGCAGTGTTTTATGATCATTTATTAACACAAAGTCTGTACAAAACAACCTCCTCCTCCTCCTCCTTGGCTGGGGTCCACGCGTGCACTCGCGCCCGTGGGAGGAGGCGTGTGGCTCTCAACCAGGGCCGCCCACTGGAGTCCTTGCAGGCCCGTTGTGTGTGTGTGGGGTCCACGTTTTGTGTGAGGCACTGGGAAAATTGCCCCCCACCCCCACTACCCCCCCCACCACCTGTGGGCGGCCCTGCTTCCGAACACGCACGTCGCTCAACCCCCACCCCCACCGCGGCACCGCACCCACCGGCGCACAGAGAAGTCATCAGAGCCCGACTGGCACACGGGCGACATTCACTCCATCACGCTAACCAGAACCATGGACACGTGAACACACTCACAACACAATGACGGATCCTCTTGTATGTGAAGCCTTGAACAGACTGTTAGCGAACGTCTATTCTGCGGCCGTCTGGAACGCTCTTCCTTTCGATATTAGGAAGCCACTGGAAGCTATGCTCTCTAACATCTAGATTGAAAACTAATTTCTTTAGAACTGATTTGGTGTCTATAGTTCGTTGTCCTTCCCCCCGCACCTCCGATGTGCACGGTTGGTTGTGTGCAGTGCGAAAGAAGTTCAGCATACAGTACGAACAAGGTCCGCACGGCACACAAGGGGGGTGGGTGGCCAGGACCACGCCTGGCCACCTTCTTCTCCCAAGTAGCGACTTTCACACTTTAAATCAGGTCGTCATTTTAGGCTGAGTCGACCTAGGGGCGGCCCAGGACCGGTTTGGATAATCGCCACTGGTGTTGGCCGTGAGCGGACATCGAACGCGGGTCGTCGGGTTCGCTCCCCACCCCGTGAACACACACCCACACACACCCAACAACGCACACATTGCCATGCACACACACACACGCGCACCGAGACGCAACACGCAACCTGCACGTTCGACACGCACACGCACGCGCGGTTCTCTGATCGTGTTTTCGGGTTGTGCCGCGGGTTTGGGCTCGGCACCAATGTCCCGACGTTCCGGGCCGACGTACGTCTCGAGAACCGAGCCAATCGGCAACGTCAGTAGCAGCAGCAGCCAGCAGGGCTGTATAATCCGAGAGAGAAAACGCGAGCGATTCAAATCAGCTGGAGAAGACGCCCCCAGCAACGTGGCGCGAAACGTCGGAAATCGTGCCGAACAACACGCGCAACAAGCTGGAAACACGCGGGAGAGAGCGGTACAGCGGCACCGACCGTGACAACAACACAAGCAGTAGTATTGTACATGCACACGTCCATACCGGCAGATGGATGCCCAACAGCGAGATACAAAGTTCACAGGGCAGCGCACTAACCGCAACACTATCGCCCCCCCCCCCCCTCGACACACAAAGATCCCCCACAAAGCCTTTAATAGACTGTTGGGGCAGGTGCTGTTAGTGAGCACATATTGAGGGGTGGAGGGTGGGTGTTCAATAACCGCACTCGGCCGCCTTCGTCTCCCCAGTGCTTATGTTTATACCAAAGCATCAGATACTCATGTAAGGCTCAGTCGACCGAGGCGAAGAACATCACCGGATCAAATATTCGCTGTCAATTATGGGTCGTGAGTGGCAATATAACTCCGGTTACTGGCTTCGTAGTGCAGTGCGCTAACCACTGGGCCACCACTCCCCAACACGTGAACACGCACTCGTATATACACACACACACACGGGTACACAACATACACACGTGCTCACACACTCACGCACGTGCTAACCAATGCTAACGCTGTTTGCACAAACGTATACAAATTCTGTAAACGATTTCGAGTGGCCGGGTATTTCTCGGGCCACTCCGTACAACACGAGGACACGATTACAAGATGGATTAAGACTACGTGTATATATGTGTGTCTATCCTATATCCTCTATAGCCGTCTCAGGACGAAGTAGAAAAACTGTGTAAACACGGCCACTCCGCTCATGAGAAGGTACGCGCGTGAATACTCGCGGACGGTAGTCGCTGGTGCGAGGGGTTCTGAGATGACAGCGAGGGATGCCCCCCAAGGGGCCGTCCATAAATGACGTCACGCGATTTTTGGACGATTTTTGACCCCCCCCGCCCTCGTCACACGGCGTCGCACAAAGTCAGACCCCCCCCCTCAAATATGACGTCACAAAGCTCTGCCCCCCCCCCCCAAAAAATAAAACATGCTTCAAATCGCTTTAAACTATTGTCATTGCAGTGCGTATTTATGTGGCACTGCACTCTGACGTTGTAGGAGAAAACATTTATTAAAAAGTCTATTTCATTAAGTAGAACGTGTTGTCTAAATTTATTTAAAGTTGCGCATTTTGATGTGACGTCACATTTCTCCCCCCCTCTCGTCACACATCGTCACAAATGTCTGATCCCCCCCCCCCAGGTGTGTGACGTCATTTATGGACGGCCCCCAACAAAAATGTAGTTACGTCGCGGGATATCACTGTGTAGTGCCGGCCCTAGAGTGGCACGGCGTGCGGTGTAGCGACATCGTGGACACCACGTGGGTGTGGGTGCAGTAGCGGCCCGAGAGGGGCTCGGTCAGCGCTGATTGAGAGCGCTGGATGGCACCACGCTTGGCGTGCAGTGCCAGCCCCTACAGGACAGGGTGTGGGAGTGCCGGCCGTCGGAAAGGGGTTAGTAAGGGCCGTGGCACTCTGGTTGCCACGTGACCGGTTAAGTCTACAAAGGGGCCCCGAGTGGGGGCTAGGGATGGTCACGTGTTCGGGGTCCAGATCCTGCTCGAGGATTCTGGAAGGTGGGCGTGGCCAAGGGCGGAGCCAGCCACGCCGCAGGGAATATAAGCCGGGTCCCCCCAGAGGGGCCGGCGTTGTTGTTCATCCTGAAGAAACCTTCATCTACGTTCTGTACGTTCTCCTCGTCTCCAACACGTGGACCTGGACCCGAGTTGTGGTCCCGGTCTGTAGTAGCCAGTTACGTTGTAATTAGTGTAGTTAGCCTGGTGGTCACCAGCATAAGTTGTTATTCTGTTAAGGGGGAGTTACCCCGTGCGTTGGTGTTAAATAAATGTGTTGCTTCCAAGTGTACGTCTGCGACATAGTTGAACTCACTACTAAAAGACAATGGTCCCCCCGTATAGCCTCTAACAGGCTGTTAGTGAGCACCTATGAAGGCCGGCACGGCACACGATGGGGTGGGTGTCCAACACCACGCCCGGCCGCCTTTATCTCCCCAGTGGCAATGTTTACAAACGGCACCAGGTACCCGTTTGAGGCTGAATCGACCTAGGGGAGGCCCAGGACCGGTTCAGATAATAGTCACCGGTGTGGGCCGTGAGCGGGAATCGAACTCGGGTCGTTGTGTTCGTTGCGCAGCGTAGCGCTAACCGCTGCACGACCGCTCCCCACTAATACACGCACAGACACATCCTCGTGCGTCCTCCCCTCCCCATGACAATTAAATACAGAGACGGCGGCGCGTCTCTCCTGCCGGACGGGGCAGTGTCGGGGCCGGGACTGGGCATTCGGGAATCGAACTGGACGCAAGCGCGCCGCACTTGAACCCCGAGCTCTCGAGGGCAACGTGACATCGAATGGTGCCGTGGTGTTGCGGTGGGGCCTGGGTGCTGGGTTGTGGGGTTGTGCCGTGTGTGGGTGAGGCGAGACGTTTGGGAGCAGGTTGGCTGCGCTTGGCAGAGCTTGGCAGAGGTCACCGCCACGGCTGCGTGCGTGGCTTTGTAATAAACGCACCGCAAGTGGTGGAGATGACGGGGCATTGAAAACGCTGTCCCAAAAAGAATGGAAGTGGTGCCGCGCTGCGACGGATCAGTGGAGAGGGGAGGTCCGGGTACGGCCTCGGGGGTGGGGGATAAAATAATGTGGCAGCCCAGGGAGCAAAGCTGTGACGGTACGGGCGGGAAATGTATGAAGGGTGCCAAGATGATACAGATGGGGGAGGGGAGGGAAATAAAAACAGAGGGAAATAGAGAGAGATATAGGGAGGGGCCAGATATAGACACGGAAAAAAAACACTGCAAGAAACAAACGCAGATAAATATGGTCACGGAGACAAAGAGAGATGTAGAAAAAAAAACGAAGTTAAACACAAAGAGACACAAGAGGAAGGAGAAATACAAAGGTACAGTTGTAGGAACCCATACAAAAAAAAAAACATTGAGAGACAGAGACAAAACTGACAGAAAAATATAGAACTTAGAGGGACAGACAGAGAAACAGACTGACAGATGGCTCAAGAGAGACAGAGATGCCGAGAGTGCACAACGCAGAGAGCGAGGGAGGCACACAATCTCAGCGAGAAGGGCACCATGATGTTTTGGTCACCCGTGTGCCCCAACCTACCAAACGCCCGACGTGACGCGCTTTTTGAAATCGCTCCTCACACTCAATTGCGTGACGGCGCACGCACGCACGCACGAGCCATTCTCCCCGTGGCCCCGCGGAGTCACTCGGGAGTTAAGTTGATATCTCCACCTCTACCTGGTAAGCCACGGGAAAGCCTCGGGGAGTGGGGGGCCCTTCCTCGAAGGGACTCTGGCGCGGCTGAACGACGCGGGCCGGCACTGACGCGGCCACGCGCGGCGGGTGTGCGAGGCGGCTCCGCTTTGGCACAGGCGGGATGGGGAAATTCGGCTCGGGATTTGCGCAACGGGGTGGGGGGGGGGGGAGAGGAAAACGGGTCGGGTTTGGCGCCGCGGGTCAGCAGGTTTTTGAAAGAGACGAAATTAAAAGGCATCAAAAAGGGACCTTGGAAATGTGTGTTCGATTTTCTATATACCGGAATAATGCTGTTTTTACGATCACGACTCTCCAACGCTTTCTAACCAGGGCTGGAAACGTGCACGCGTTAGCTCTGTCCGTCCGTCCGTCCATAACAGGAGGTGGGCATGATAACGCTTATGAAGCCGATCCAGTACGAACCGAACCTGTTGCTGCTAGGGGGCTTAAGCCTCGCCCTGCAACGGCCACATTGGTCAAAGCGTTCTTATCTAGATCTTGGAGACGCAAACCAGAGCAAAGACGACAATTTGCAAGCATGCAAACGCATTTTTCCCTGAAAACTGCCCGTCAGCTTGCATACTGCTCATTAAATACTTGCAAAGACAAATGTTACAGAATCCACGCTTGTGCAAGGCATTATTTCCCAACTTGTTCTGAATCCGCTAACAATGTGTGAAGAAAACATTTTTGTTTTTGCTTTCATTTAAAAGTGAGCGATGACCACCTACCCACATAGTGACAGTGCCCAGGATCGAGGCCTTTCCAAGTCGATGGTCCCTCCGGTACTGATCTATGGTCCAGAATCCCGTATGACGAGGGAGCTCAATGAGAGAACGATCTGAGTGTGCGAGATGGACTGCTTGGGCGGGATTCCAGGAAGAGTATCGGGACTGCACAGACTGGAAAGTGATGATATGAGAACAGAGTTGGAGGCAATAACAACCCGATTAGAGAGAATCAAGGTTCGCAGATGACAGTCTCGTGCGGCTACGAGACTGACTACGCCCCCACCGCGTACTTGGGCGGTACGACACAAACGTTGAAGCAAACGGGGAGTAGGGGAAGACAAAAACGCATTGTCTCGCTAATGAGCTGACGGATTGGACAGCCGGTGTCGATGATGTAAAGCAAAGCGAGATTTCACGAATAAGTGCCAATTGTGGGGAAGAGCCACGGCGGCGCTTGCGGGCACCGCAGAGAGCACGGTGGGGGATGGAGGGGGGGGGGCGCTGTTACAAATCCCGGGGGGGGGGGGGGGGGTGGGGGGAGCAACGGAGCTACTCGCGGCAACGCGTCCGGGCTCGCTGCTCTGACGAGACCGTCACGTGGGGACACGAGAGGCACGCGGGTGCGGTCCCCGTGGAGCCGGCGCGTCGAAGCCCGCTCGGCGGCAGCGTGACTCATCCCACGTGGGTCAGCGGGGTGAGGGCGCGGGTGGGGTGGGGCGGGTGGGGGGGGCGGGTGTACGACGATTCCAACCCGACCCACGTACACGATGCAAAGGCTTTGCTGTTATGGAGACTAGGCGCCGCGGTGGCGAGATGTTAACTACCTCGCCTGGTGTACAGGAGGTTGTGGATTCGATCCCGACCCTGACGCCTGCTGTATATTTGGAGCTTGCGGTGTCTCTCTCCCCGTGGTCGCGTGGATTTTTCTCCAGGTCCTCGGGGTTTTCCCTCCACATTTTGAATAAACATCACGCGTTCAGAGTGTTTGGCTGCCGCTATAAATTTCCACGTCATGAGCCACTTCGTTGACCTATCGCTTGTGGCCGGTTCGCTTCTAAATAAGTAAAACCGTTGAAAAAGAGCTACATCGCTCAGTGGACCTTACCTGGTAAAATAAAAAAAATAGTTTTTTTTAAGTTTAGTTTATTATGGGTGGCAAATAAATAAACAACTAGACGGGAGGCCGCCTTTCTTTCCATATAAAAACAAACTTTCAAGCGCTTTAGCCTACGGGCACATGAGCGATTGGTAGCCCAGGCATCGGGCTACCAATCGGTGGTGGGGGGGAGTGAACAGGGGGCCCCGTTCCGTTCCTTGCGCCAGGACCCATGGCAACCAACGACACGACGCCACTGCTTAGAAGCCTTCCAAGGCCAGTGTTTTAATGGCGGTGTTATTTTTTGTTGAGCAGGTCTCGACTCCTCAACGAAGCTGCCCTGGTTAAACAGAGCGCAGCTGTGGAATCGTCGGTGTGGAAGGCTGATTTGCTGGCGGAGGGGTGATTCCTCCGGGGTGTTCCGTGAGCGTGCTCCGTTATAGCACAAGCCAGTCTACCCATTGTTATATCGTCAACATACTTAACGTTTTTTTTTACGATCACTGAAACTACATGTCTACAACCGTTATTTATAATTCCACAACATTACGATCGCAATGATTGCTTCCTCTGTGATCGACGTGACCACGCATGCCGTGGAATCGCTCTGCACAGGAAACAAATCATCCGTGAAAAAGAGCTTCATAGCTCATCGGATTCCTCCAGCGTAAATAAATATTCTGATCGTACAAGAGCTGCGTGAGCCGTGGGGGGTCGCCGCCGTTAACATGAAGCGATGAGGGCGGCCCATGCGCGCGAGCGCGATGGATCGTGGCATCGCTGGACCGTCTGAGAAGGCACCAGCGGGGTTTGGGTGGATGGGTGCGGCAGGGGCTATGGGGGGGGGAGGCCTTCACCCGGCAACGGATAAAACACGGCTGATGAATAAGAGACGGTGAAGATGACGGTTATAACGACCAGCGGTGCCCCCGGGCGTGCGGTGCCATGCCGGCTATGCGTTTGCCCCCAAGGAGCCATCGACCTGACCGCCGGGGCCCCCCGGCCCCCCCTGGCCCCCCGCTGCCGTGTAAGGGGGTGGAGCGGGGCGCGGTGGGACCCGGCGGGACCTCATGAAGGAGAGGAACTGCTCCGGCACCTCGGCCAGGACGTCCCGGGCCAGGCGCTCCATGCTCAGCACCTGGCTGCCTCCGCGATCCACGTAGTCCCGGAATGGAACAAACTGAGGGAGGGTGGGAGGGGGACAAGGGGGAGGGGGAAGGAGGGGGTTAAGAAGTGAGGGAGGGTTGTGGGGTCCAAGTCACAGTTGGAGTTGTCAAGCCCATCATTGCTCTCTGCTCGGTCGATAGACTCAGTACCACTTTGTGAACAGAGGTTGTGATATGGATAATCTCGCCCCCGCTACAGGAATGTGTAATTTCCACTGATGGCTGAGGTCTAGAAACGTTATAGGAGCACCATCTCTCCGCTCATTTGAGTGGGACATCGCTTTACAGTGCAGACAATAACAATATTGTGCCATACTCTCTATTCCTCCACCTTCATCAACCCACACTGCTCAGCGTGGTGAAGTATGGTCAAACAACTCCCATGACCCGCACGGTGTGGAACGGTACTCATCCAGCAGTTGATTCACAAAGGGGATGTATGTACGCGTAACTGTTTTTTCCCTACAAGTAAACTATTTTAATTACCAGGTAAGGCCCACTTAGCGACATAGCTCTTTTTCGGAAGCAACTTGGCGACAAATGATAGCTCAGCGAGGGGGCTTATTAGGTGCAATTTTTTTAAAATCTAAACGCGTGTTTCTACATGTGAAGGGAAAAACTGGAGAATTTGGAGGAAAATCCAAGCGACCACGGGTAGAACATGCACACTACTAATATACAGGCATCATCAGGGTCGGAATTTAACCCAGGACCTCCTCCATACTCGGCAAGGGAGATAACATCTCGCCACCATGGCGCCCCTACTGGACACATGTGAAAAAGAGCTTCATAGCTCATCGGTATTCACCCAGTCTAAACACTGATTCTTATTGTGTATGGATCATATCCAGCTAAGCGAGGCAGGAACTGGAAGCTCCACCCCCGAGCCTTGTACCGCAAGAGGGAGTGAGCGTTACCTGGACAATATCCCTCTCGGCCTCCTGGCCCCGTGACGACACTCGCACCTGGTCTCCATCCAGCTCCTCCATGGCTGCCAGATGCACACACAAAGATTTAGATCTCTCCACCGCCCCCATCCCCCTCATAGCTTACATAGATTGTTGGGGCAAGTCAGTCAGTCAGCCAAATTCAGGTAAGGGTCATTGAGCTAAGATGCACTTTTTTCAATGGCATCCGGGCCAAAATGACTGGCACGTTGCATGGGTAGTGCTAATTAGCGAGCGCCTATTAATGACAGAATGGTGCCCAGGGAGCTGGAGTGGCCTGAACCGCGTTCGGCCATCTTCATCTCCCCAGAGCGAATGTTTACGCACCGCAACCATGTACTCATTTAAGTACATGATTGACTTAAGGGAGGCCCAGGACCTGCCTGTTATAACCCGCCGCTGATGTCACGTGATTTTTTAGTTTTATCCGCATTCTTTCCCACATGTCTCGCTACATCACGTGGAAGCCTGCCCTATACTTCTAATTCTCAGAGCTGAGCTGGTATTTAGCCAAATTAAGTGAAAATTCTAATTGAATGCGATGGGTTTGTTTGTGCAGTCATTGTTGACCGGGCTGTGACCGTCAACTGGCCACACTCGAGATCGCGGTTCAACCACAGATTCGACGTCAGGACCTCGGCAGTGCCAACTCAGCACTCTCGACTCCTGAGCCACCTGGCCACCTCGACAAAAACTTTGCTTTAATAACAAGTAAAAAGATATAACTTATAAAAAATTATCTCATTCATGAAGCTTCAATAAAACTCGCGCAAGACAGCCCAGGACACTCAGCCTAGGCTTAGCTGCAAGATAAGAGCCAGCGACGTCACAAAGGGGAGGGGGGGGGGTGGGTCCTGCCTGTGGAGCCGAGTCGTTGGAACCGACTCAAGCAGTGTCGGCTGGTGGCTCAGCCCATTCGCGAGGCGGCGCCGGCGGCCAAAAGGTCGAGGAGCTTCGGCTCTCATCTCATCTCAAGAGCTTCCTGACGTTCTGGGGTCGTGTTGTCTGGTCAGGCGGGCATGTAATGGAAAAGTCGGCGCTCTCACCGTCGAACTCTGCCGGTCCCACCCCGACGATGATGATGGACATGGGAAGACTCGCCGCCTGCGGGCGTGGAAAAACGAGGCGGCACACAGCGACGGACGGATTCAGCGATCGTGGCGCCCGTGCGACATCGTTTAGGCGCGGAGGGAAAATTTAGGGGCGGGCGCGCGCCGCCCCGCCCGTGGCCGCACGCGAATCGGTGTTTGCGGCACGGTCACCCACGTGCACGATGGCCTCCTTGGTCTGCGCCATGTCCGAGATGACGCCATCCGTGATGATGAGCAGCACAAAGTACTGGGAGCCGTCCGACACCGACGCGGCGTACCTGCAGGGCGGCACGCACGTGGCACGCGTGCATGGCACGGGTACCGATATCGGAGGGCGCTGGGCATGACGGCGATGTGTGAAAACATCTCAAGAAGCTGTCCCGAACCGGTGGGCATGTTTATTTTGATAGAGAAGGGGGGAAATAGGCGGAGGAAAAAGGAAGGCCCAGGTTTAGACTTCAGCAGGCGTAGAGGGAGTCAATGCGACGGATGGATTGGGGGGAGTTCCAGAAATTGAGGGCAGTAGAGGAGGATGAGTGACGTCCTACCGAGCGACGGCTGACTGAGGGATTCAACAGAATGCCTCGGTTGCTGGAGCAGAGAGTACATGGAGGTGAATCGACCCATACACGCACACACGCTACAGGCAGACTAATAGACACGCGCAGAGACCCATAAACCTGCTGCACCTGTTCAAGTACAAACTCAAGACCTTCCTCTTTACAATGTAACTGGCATTGGCCCAAAATCCCAGTGGCTGCAATATGACCTGCGAATTACTGAATTGGGATTACACAGCAGCAACATTGACCCCTACTGTGAAAACGTCACAGGACCCTCCTGAAAAAAACCGTTGCGACTCAGCGAGGCTCTCCTGGGTGAACAGGCGGAATGATAATAACAATCGTAAGCCCCGGCACGGACCTGGCGACGTGCGTGATGACGGGCGCGAAGTTGGTAGGGCCGTAAAGCTGCACGGAGCGCAGACTCTGGTAGTAGGCCTCCAGCACCCCCTCGATCCCGCTGCAGTACGGGTTTTGCGGATTTCCGTTCTGTATGCGACGCGCACGCGGAGGGGGAGAGACGTACACACACATCGTACGAGCCGGTTTCGTCGCTCCATCTCTCGCCTGGGACGTGACCTCTGAGGTGCGTTCCCTGTTTTTTGGCTGCCAACCCTTCGTTGGACTTGACCACCAGGCAACATCCATTTGAAGTAAAGATAAAAAAAAACTAAATTTATAAAGCGAAAGCAATTGATGCTACCCCTACCACCTCCCGCCCCATCCTCCTCCTCTTCACTTCCAAGGCGTTCTACCCCCTCTGCCAGATCCCACAGCTGCTACACAGGAGACACGTAGCGACCTCTAAGATCTGCCCTGACAGTCTCTGCCACCGTCTGGCCTGAAGCTTTCTCTTCTCCCTCATCGGCGGTCTCGTGGAGACCACTCATATGTCTGTCCCGGCAATCGGCCCTCCCCCATCCCGTGCAAGTGTCCCACCAAACGTGACCATCTTTGCTGAACCCCATCTATAACGCTTGGCTACCATGAGCCCTTTCCACTCTCCTGCAGTGCTTATATAGTCAAATATATATCCACCTTTAACTCTGTAAAATGGTGATAATAGTAACTCATTTGTTTATCCAGGACAGCCACGCTGAGTCCTATGACTCTCTTTCAGGAGGGTCTTGCCACTACATTGGGAGTTATTTCAAGATGTTTTCGGCCAATTAATGATGAGCTGTGCTTATAATACACGTGGGAGGGGGCAACACTCTGTTCCAATACAGATGAAAACAGGTGGCGATTGGTCCGCTTGCTCTACCGCCTTCTCTTGGCATTCCAGAGTATTGCACTTCCTTGGCACCCACGGGAAGGGAATTTCGCAACATCTCTGTGCGGTGATCCACCAACCCCTCGCCTCCCCTGCGCTGGACCGCAGGCGTGCTCCACTGATATGTACGTACGTATGTTGAACTTCGTTTGCGCCGTACGTAGCCAACCGTGCTAATCGTAGGCGCAAAAGTCGTAAGCAAATCGACTGTTTCACTGACGTGATTCGCCGTGCGTCGTCGTGAGCATAAAGAGTCGACCCGAACCGACGTGCCGCCGCGGGCACGGTTGTTGTACATTCCGTGTCATGGTCCGCACCAACGCAAACTCGTGGGACACGTGTCCATCTGGCGGCAGCTTCGCCCCGAATCCGAGCGCGGGAAACATCTTGTCGGAGTCGTAGTCCTGCACGATCTCCCCGACGGCCTTGAGCGCGAGAGCGTAGGCGTTGAGCTGGTACGGCGACAGGTAATGCAGGGACGTGGGCTGGGACGGGCTGCCTGCACGCACACGAACATAACCCCCCCCCCCCCCACCGACCGCCCACACACAGATCACCTCACAAAGCCGTACCAGCAGGAGTGGGCAACCATTTGCCTGGCTGAGGGCCAAAGATGACTTTAAGGAGCCCTCCAGCATGCACAGCGGAACGTCGGGCATCGAACGCATGGAACAATCCGAAAACACCACTTCTGTCACCGCGAGAAGCCCTCGCAGTGACAGAGGTGACTGTGGCACGACGATAAACATTTGTGCTGTTGCCAGGTCGAAAATGGTTTTCCCTTTCTAGTACCCAATTAGAGCAGGGTAAGGTGCTTCGCAGCGATGGATATAGTATTCAGGCCATTTAGAAGTAGCAGGTGCCATGTGGCCACAGGCCGTGTGAAATTAAGTAGCGGGCCAGGTACAGCCACAACTTCACAAATTTCCCACCCCTGCTATGCAGGCTGCTGTTTACACACGGCATCAGGTATTCATTTAAGGCTGAGTCGACATAGGGGAGACAGCCCAAAACCGGTTAAGATATTTATCACGGGTGTTGGCTGTGAGCGGGAATCGAACTCGGGCCGCCAAGGTTCATAGCAGGGTGCGCTAACCGCCGCACCACCGCTCCGCTCCTGCACCATTTGCCTCCATCGTGACTATAATTTCAACATGTGGGGTTAGCACCTCCACTTTACGGCACCATTCCCCACGCGAAATTATATATTCTGCATTTTCACATAAAAATACAACTCTCCAAAGTGCACGGGCGCAGCAACGGAACGACGCTCGTTTAAACCATTATTTTTTCATCACAACCATTGAAACTTTTAATAGAAGCGGTGGAGCAGCGGATGGGCGTACGGGTAATCGGTGCATTGAGAGAAAATGTACGCGCCGCGTAAATTAACTGGAGGACGGGCGGGAAACGGCGGGGAACGGGTGGGGAACGGTGGGGACGGGTGGAGAACGGTGGGGATGGGTGGGGAACGGTGGGGATGGGTGGGGAACGGTGGGGATGGGTGGGGAACGGTGGGGATGGGTGGGGAACGATGGGGATGGGTGGGGAACGGTGGGGATGGGTGGGGAACGGTGGGGATGGGTGGGGAACGGTGGGGATGGGTGGGGATGGGTGGGGAACGGTGGGGAACGGTGGGGATGAGCGGGGATGGGTGGAGAACGGCGAGTACCGTCGGTGTGCAGGAGTAATTACCATTGGAGGCGGTGAAATCAATCGCCACAGTGAAGTTAATTTGGGTCCTGCGAGCAGAGACAAAACAAGAAGAAAAAAAACACCTCGAGGATTCAGTTGGGGGGGGGGGGGGGGGGGTGGGGGAGCAGATTTCATAGCCGTCAAGAGTGCAATGCGCACACATCGGCGGATCCCAGCCCCCCTCCCCTGCCACCCGGGCACGCGTTCCATCGGGGAGGATGAGTGATGCGTTCCGGCTTGCTTTCAAAAAGAGCGGCGGCGGTTTCCGCCCAAGAGGATCTCGACGTCGTCGTCCGCCGCGGAGATATGGGAGCAATGAAATCGGTTTTGGGTCTTCATCTAGCAGTGGATTAATCATGGCCGATGATGATGAATTACGTTAAAAAAGAGGTAAAGGTGCAGGCCTGCAATTGCTCGCTCATGCCACTGCCAGCGGAGGGGCCTCCACTCGAGAGGGAGCTTCATAGAGAGCCCTTCTCTCGAGGGTGTTTGGCCTACTCTTCCACATTGACCAGACGTGTTAGGAAGAGGTGGAAGTAGTCAACACTCTAGCCCACCACACGCGGACCTGCCGATCACAGACTTAACTGTGCTGTAACCCATCTCTGCTGCTGGGTGGACACAGGCGATGGATTGCAAGTTCAGCAATGTAACACCACTGCACCCCGGCAACTTCCCGATCGTGGCCAGAATTAGGGGAGCGATATTTGTTCCAGACGCCTGGATTTGCCCGGGTGCAATGGTTACCGTGCTGAACTTGCAATCCAGAGGTCGGCGTGCGCGTGCGCGCGTGCCGGGAGCGGTAGTGTAGCGGTTAGCGCGCTGCGCCACAAACCCAAGTTTGATTCCCGCGCACGGCTAACACCAGTGACCAATGATCTGAACCGGTCTTGGGCCCCTCCCCTAGGTCGACTCAGCCTCGAAACGAGTACCTGGCGCGGTGTGTAAAACATCTCCGCCCCCCCCCCACCTCGTGTGCCGTGCCGGCCTTCATAGACGCTACTCGCTCACAGCACTTGCCCCAACAGTCTGTTACAGGCGATACCGGGGAGGGGGGGGGGTGGAATCTTTGTTTTCGTGGGCGGAAGAGGCACGTCAGGTTTGGTGAATGTGCCGAGTGGCGGCGTGTGCACTGCGTGTGCATCCCACGGCACGGTCGCCCTGCTATTGTGCCGGGTGATGCGTTGTAGCGTCCCTGGTGTTTGAATGCCTCCCACCCGCCGGTGCTCGCCGAGGCCGTGAGTTGTCGTGCGCACCCCACCATGCGATGCGCGCGTGCGTGCGCGCGTGTGTGCATGTACGTGTGTGTGTGCGCGTGTGTGCGTGCGAGTGTGTGTGTGCGTGTGTGTGTGTGCGTGTGTGTGCGCGCGTGTATGCGCGTGGTTGCGCGTGTGTGCGCGCGTGTGTGTGTGCATGTGCGCGTGTGTGTGTGTACGTGTGTGTGTGCGCGTGTGTGCGTGCGAGTGTGTGTGCGCGTGTGTGAGTGTGTGTGTGTACGAGCTCGTGCACGCGTGTGTGTGAGTGTGTGTGTGTACGTGTGTGTGAGTGTGTGAGTGAGTGTGTGTGAGTGTGTGTGTGAGAGTGTGCGTGTGTGTGTGCGAGTGTGTGTGAGTGTGCGTGTGAGAGTGTGTGTGTGAGTGTGTGTGTGCGTGTGTGTACGTGCTCGTGCACGCGTGCCTGCGTCATAGGCTTGCGCGCCGGGCGTACGAACCCGGCGAACCGAGTTCGATTCCTGCTCACAGCCACCAACATCGATGACGATTATATGAACCGGTTTTGGGCCCCCTAGCTCGACTCAGCCTCAAATGCTTACCTGGTGTGATGTGCAAACATCGCCACTGGAGAGACAAAGGCGGGCGGGCGTGGTGCCGGCCTCCCATAGTTGCTGCTCGCAAACAGCACTTTCCCCAACAGGCCGCCGAGGCTATATCTGGGATCTTTGTCTGTGTGTCAGACAAAGCGGAGGATCTCTCCTCTCTCACCCCCCCCTTCTCCAGTAGTAATTACACTGTAAGAGCGCTTTGCCATTTCGGATTTTTTTTTTGCTGCTACAACCAATTACGCGAGCTGCGCCCGCCCCCGCAGCGCCGCGCTATTGAACGGGGGGTGGGAGTGGGGGGCTAGCGACCACTCGCCTACTTATTTATTTATCCGCCGTCATTTGCCTTTTCACAAAAAAATTGTATTTAATTGATCCCTCCATCCCTGCGTACACTCTCGGGAACGAGCGAGGGCGCGGCGGGCACGCGCGTCCCAATTTAATCGACGCGCTGCAATTCACTGTTCCGCCGCGTCGCGGATTTGCCGGGTTTGTGATTTACGCCGGCCAGTTAAGCAACGACGCCGCTCGCTTGCACGGCCCCGTGCCGAACGTGAGCGCGAGCGACGACGCTTGACGTCGCACGGATGAATGGCGACGACTTACGGTGCGACGTTCAAGTTTATTCACATCCCCAAGGGTTTTGACGTCCGCCTTTGGGATAATGCCGAGTCAATTGCAGAGGTGGTTTTGTTTTTTGAGTTTTTTCTTTTCTTTTTGAGTGACAGTGGACCGGTCGCTCCCTCGCACAGTCCCTCCCCCCATCCCCCCACCCCCCCCCCCCCCCCCGAGCGATTTCCTGCTCGGGACGTCGTTCATCTGCAGCATTAAAGACGGTGGTGGAAATTCCACATTCCCATGGCGGCGGCGAGTCTTCCCGCAGGGCAACCGCCCACAAAATGGTGCTGGTCTTAATCGACCCCAGGGGGATGAAATTCCGAGTTCAACCCCCCCAAAACGAGTATTCGATCTCGCAACCTTCCGATTGCTCACTCTCTCGCCGAGCCACCTGGTGACCCGTCATTCCATGCCTGGGCACCGCGTGGCATCCTTGAGTCTCCTTGAGCCCTCAAGGAAACTCGAGCACGGTCAATCTCACGGGCACTCTACCCTGATTTGCGACCCAGCGGCGCTGACCCTCTTTAAAGGGAGGGTCGCGCGACGCAGTCGATGTTGGACTTTACGCAGACGTTAAATGCGAAAGGGAACGAGCAACAGGTCGCGGTGTGGCGACGTCTCCCCCCGTGCGCACGTTGAGCCAATGAGCTACAACGCCCATCGCTGAATTGAACTAATTGTGCGAACGTTTTTCCACTTGAATATTGGCTTGGGGAGGCCTTCATCCAGTGGTGGACTGACCATGCTTGCTTTTGATGATGGTAAGAATTTAGCGGGGGGGGTGGGTTGGGGGGGAGCTCAACCCGATCCAGCTAGCCCCCCCCCACCCCCAAGATCAGGGAGCTGTTGATTCGCGACCGCGTGTCGGCTCGGAACGGCCCCAGTTGCGTGCGCCGGGGTGGCCGGTGGCAGCCTCCTGGCGGCCCACCTTGCCCTCACCTCCACAACTACGGACGCAGTCGCTTCGAAGTTCTGTGCCCGTCATGCCGAAGGTCTCCCGGAGCGAGTATCAGGAATCGAAGTCGCCCTTCTCAGGCTCCAATCAAACCGTGCCACATCGATTTCTCGCTGCTGCTCGTCGCAAGCAATCCGACCTGGTGGCTCAGCGGCGGAGCGAGAGGCTCACGGCAATCGGAAGGTCGCGACTTCAAATCCTGGTTGGGGGTCGACTCAGCCCATCGTCCCTCTGAGGGTCGATAAAATGGATACCACTTTGCGGTGGAAGTCAACGGTCATTCTCCTGTGGATGGACTCGCCGCCGCCGCCACCACAGAAACGCGAAAATTTCCACCGCTGGCTCAGGGGCCGTAAACGGGAGATGGGGGGGGGGATAACTTTGACGCGATTGGTATCCGTACGAGCGAGGGAGGCGAAACCGCTCCCGTGCGTCCCCGGCGTTTGGCCCGGGCGCTGCCGGGGGTCGGGGCAAGTCCGACGCGTGACGCACTTCGCCGGGACGTCGTCAAGGAGACCGATCGCTCTCCGCTTTATTGCGGCCACCTCTGCCTAACAAAGCGGTCGTGCCACCCGGCAGACAGGAGTCGCCGTTTCAGCGCTGCGATACAACGATCGAGGCAATTGATCGCGCAACAGATTATTTGAGATATCGACTGCTCCGCCGATTATCGGTTAGATTGCTCGACCAATCGGAGAGAGAATTCGTAAGTCGTTGGAGGACAAAAAATAAACGCCAACTCTGACCTCTGCTGCCACGTGTGCTGCTGGACGGGAAGTGAGGGGTGGGTGGGTCATGGTGACGTCCTCAGCATCATCAGCCACGCCGTGCTGGTCACGGCTTGCAGGGGGTTTCCTGGCTTCGGCAGGCAGAATGTTGGCGCAGGAATTTTTAAAGGGGGCCCGAGTGATCGAGCACAGAAAGAGCGACCGATTACAACACGAGAGTCGACTAATTGACTGAATCCACCGACGGTCCCAGCTGTAGGGGAGAGGGCGCTAATTTCGGGCGTGAGGACGCTGTTGTTTGTGGACGCAGCAGGTGGCCGGGGGACAGCCTGCGTGGCACAGGGGCATGTCTCACGCTGCCGCCTCGTTCTCATCGCCGGTGTGAGAGGTTTAAATGTCAGCGCGTTAACAAGTTTACGCTGCCTGCCAGGGTTCGCCACTTGACCTCCCCGGCTGTGACCCACGCGCTGGCCTTTGGTTTTGGATGCGAGGCGAGAAACGTGTCTCTCCCCTTTGGCAGCGTCCGCAGGGCTAATATTTCGTCTTTGTATACTTTTGTAATCCCGACTTTTATTTCGATGCGCGTTTACGATGCCACGTCGCACGGGATGAAGAAGCCGTTCGGATTTCTCGCAGAGCCGTGCGGCCTGCGGAAGCGGACACCGCAGAACTGCCTCTGAAATCCATTCAAGTGCCCTGTGGTTCACCCAGGAGGGGGCAGCACTCACTGATGAACACCAATTTACTGGAGTTGGACAAACATCCCAAAGTACGGCCACAGGGCTCGGGCGATTGTTGGTAGCAGCAGCTCCCGGTGCCTTCCCGCTCGTCAGTGGTTTCCCTGAATCGAACAAAAGCCATGCAGCGAGGAGCCACAAATGCGTGCATTTGATAAATATTTATATATCCAAAAGGCGCGTTGACATTTTGCCGTTACCTGCTGCAACGAGGTGTGGGCACCCTTAGCGAGTTCCTCCCGGCTTGGAGGGCGATTGCAAAATTAACTTTTGTGTTGTGGTGGCCACGTGGACACATGCAGGCAACCGGGCTTTGGTCTGAGTGAATATGTCATTTATTTTTTGCGTTCATTTCCCACCTCCGGTTGGCTGCTGTGGGTGTTTTTTTTCCAATGCATTATTTATACAGGGCTCTGTTGCCATGGCGATGGGCGTATTCGAGCGGGGGAATCTTACAGGCATGTGATGGGAGGTGGGGGCCTGTCGCACGAGAGGGTGCTCTTGTCAGCGTATGTGAGTGGGTGCAAGTGTGCTCGTGCGTGCGTGGGTGCGCGTGCGTGCGTGGGTGCGCGAGTGAGCTGGAGTTGTGTGTGCGGATGCGTGGTCCTGGCCACCCACAACCCTCCACGTTCCGCTAACAGCACTTGCCCCGCAAGTCTGTTAAGGCTATACGGGGAATCTTTGTCTTGGTGGGTGTGTACGCGCGCAGGTGGGTATACATGTGTAGTGGAGTAGGAAGGTGCGCAGTACAAACAGCGTGATTACATGATCACACAGACAGTACGGGTTATCTTGGGTCAGCCTGTAGCGAAGGCGAATACAGTGCAGGTTATGTTGGGGCAATTAAGCTGGGAGAGCCGTGGACGGCTGTGATTGGTTGGTGCTGTTGTCGGAGCTGGAGAGGCGTCTTGAAGTCTGGCGAGAAACAGGTGCGGACGGTCACGCGGAGTTCCGTTGGGACGCGGGTTAATTAATTGGGGTGTGATGAGAGCGTGGATAAATTGTGGGGTCGGCAATTGGAGCGAGAGTTGGAGTTTGGAGAGCTTGGAGACGGAGGTGGTTGAAGTTGGGGAGCTTGGAGTGAACAGTGGGGGAATTGAAGTTGGAGTCAACAGCGGGGATTGAAGAGTGGAGAGCTTGGAGAGAGCGTAGCGATAGCGGAGCTGAAGACGAGAATAGCCAGCAGTGGAGAGAGCATAGTGACGGTGATAGCGGTGAACAGAGATGAAGCAGTTAGCAGTGGAGTGAGCATAGTGACGGTGATAGCGGTGAACAGAGACGAAGCAGTTAGCAGTGGAGTGAGCATAGTGACGGTGATAGCGGTGAACAAAGACGAAGTAGCTAGCAGTGGAGAGAACATAGTGACGGTGATAGCGGAGAGCGGAGACGAAGAAGTTAGCGGTGGAGTAAGCGAAGTAATCGTGGGGAGTGGAGAGACAAAGGTGGCGAGCGAGTCGAGTGGAGCAAGGCGAGCGAGCCGTGGCGACCAGGATACCGTGGAATGTGGAGGACATGCGGAGAGTTGTAAATAAAGCGGTGTTCGGAGAAAGACAGAAGTTGTCCGAGTGAAATCGAACACTACACATGCATGAGCATGCCTGCTTAACGGTGCGAGAGTATGGAAATGTTTATACATGCGTGTGTGGGTATGTGCGAATGCCTCAACAGTCTCTGAAGGCTCGCGGGGGATGATTGTCGTTGGGTGTCTATGTATGTGTGTGGGACGCGGTGTAGTGTAACTGTGAGCGCGCTGCGCTATGAAACCGGCGATCCGAGTTCGATTTTCGCTCAAGGCCAACACCAGTGACGATTATCTGAATCGGTCCTGGGCCTCCCCTAGGTCAACTCAGCCTCTGATTAGCACAGTTGGCTATGTACGGTGCGAAAGAAGTTCAACATACATAAAAATGAGTACCTAGGATGATGTGTAAACATCGTCACTGAGGAGACAAAGGCGGCCGGGCGTGATACTGGCGACCCGTCCCCTCGTGTGCTGTGCCAGCCTTTACAGGTGCTCACGAACAGCATTTGCCCAAACAGTCTGGTTAAGGCTACACGGCAGATATTTGTCTCTGTATGTGTGCATGTGTTTTGCCTGCCATTGTGTGTATGTTGAACTTCTTTCGCACCGTACGTAGCCAACCGTGCTTATCGGAGGTGCAGATATGTGTGCGCTAACCTGCCAGTGTGTGTGTGTCCGTGCGTGTGTACACCTCCACGTTTCGCATTGGTATACGCACGCGTGCTTTCCAGTGTGCCTACGTGTGTGTCGGTCTGCATGTGCGTGTTGACCCACCCTCCTTTGATGTAGTCCAGGAAGGTGTAGTCAGATTCCACTTTGAAGGACAGCAGGGTCACCTGTAGCAGGTGGGAGAGGGTCGGGGACATTACTAATCGCAGTGCCACACCGGCAAAAGCAGGGACAGACAGTCTACCTGCTTGGTTAATTGTACAAGTAGTGACCTTGTGTGTCCAGATGCAAGCTCGTTGTGGAGCGTTATGGGTAGTATTAATATATGTGTGCGTAGACTTCTTATCGTGTATCCCCACACGCGGACTAATATGATCGGGCAGCGTTGCTTGCTGAGACAAATTCTGCTGCGTAATATTGTTAATAATGGTCTGGAATGCCACGAGGTTAAAGGACAAAAACATTCCATTTGTTTGTGGAGTCCCAAGACTTTTACAGGAGGGTGCGTCTGCGTTGGTACGTTTGACCAATTCCATTCATTGTTCGGCGCAACGTGGGAAGAAACGCGAGTCACAAGAGAACATCCACCATGCACTCAAAAGCTGTACAGATAAACTAAACAAGTTGTTTGTATTTTACCAGGTAAGACCCACTACTCAGAAGCGACCTAGCCACAAACAATAGCCCCATGAAGTGGCTGATCACGTGGGCATTTATATCAGCCAAACACTCTAAATGCGTGTAACATTCGAGAATCCATTTACTGTGCTGTCATCCGCACCGTCTCCCATCCTGTTACTAACGACGCTCACGCCTGCTTAGCTTTTTGAGACGCGACAAGACCAGGCGCACTGAGCGTGGCGCGGCAGTCTGCTGCGTAGAGAAAGAGGTTATTTTTTTAATTCTATTTTTGGAAAAGAATGGGCCCCGGCGTAAGGCGGCAAGGGAGACGGCTGGCGCGGTTTGATCCAAAAGCATCCGATGGAGAAATCGTCAAAAGAGGGATGATTTCCCCTCCCGTGATACCGGCTAAATTTAGATTGTGCCGCCAATTAAGCCCGAGCCTCGCGTGCTCGCTAACCGTATTCACGGGATCCCGCACGCTCGCCCGCCCGCCCGTCCTCCCCAACTTCCCGTTCCTCCGCGGGCTGTCACGGCGAGCGCCGGATCTCGCGTCCTCCCTGCCTCCCGCTCACCGATTAGATTTTGGAAAATTCGTTTTAGTCGGTCGTTACGGACGCAATTGCTTTTGAACCGTAGCCACCGCCACAGCTGAACTACGACTCCATCGCACTGGAAGCGAAGTGAAATATATAAAAAAATGCATTATTGCCAACGAGCGATAGCGCAGTGCAGAAAAAATATATACTGTTGTACTGTGCTTCTGTGCTCCCAACTGTGCTTTCCCCCCGCCTTCACCAACCGGTGCGGTGAAGTAGAGTCAAAATGACCGTATTACCCGCACGGCGAGACGGGGTTCTGATCCAGAAGTGCATTGACAAACGAGTTGTGTGCGTATTGTGGAGTAGTTCATTCTGATTTAAAGCTTTCGTGACTGCAGTAATTCATATTCTTAGCTCTTTCAGTAAAGTCACGTTGAAGGGAAACAATAAAATAATAAAATATATAAAACAATAAAAATTCTCACGACGTTTCGACCATAACACCTGATGATGACCGTTTGTGTTATGGTCGAAACGTCGTGAGAATTTTTTATTGTTTTATATATATTTTATTATTTTATTGTTTCCCTTTAACGTGACTTTACCGAAAGAGCTAAGAATATGAGTAGTCTATTGTTTAAACTTTAAATTAATCGTTGTTTAAGATGTTTAGACATTTTATTTACATGTGCATGTCCATGAACAGAGCATCACAGCTCATCGGATTCATCCAGCATAAATATTCTGATGTTGACCACCGGTGAGCAGACGCGATTGGCTCGTGCGCGGGAACTCGACGCTTTGATGCATCGCGTCACTGTGAGATACGGAGACGGCTTGGGGAGGAGGCCTTCATCAAACAGTAGATAGATGATTGCTGATGACGATTATATGCATCGTTTTAGATTCCAAACTCTCTCCTAAAAAAACAGACTCATGGTCTCATTGAACTATCGCTCGGTATAAATGGTACACACATAGTCAGATAAATTATAATAATTATGTGGTTAGGTGGCTGCAGTCGCATTAACAAAGCTGGTTTTGTTGTAAACTCGGACAATGATAACGAGTAAATTCATCCGCAGATTGTGAATCACCACCTCTGTGCGCGAGTTCCTAATCCACGGGGAATGGTAATATCTGCATAATGCAAACCTACGACCAAATTGGATCACTCGTCACATCTCGGCAGCCAGGCAGGGTCGGCCGCTGATTGGTGCTTGGACCCGCTCACTCTCTGGGAATTCTGGGTACTGTAGGCTCGGACGATGACACGACTAGGAGACAACAAGGCTTGTTATTATAAATTGTGTATCTATCTGTGCGGGTCTTTAAGTGATACTCTCTCCAGGCTGCTTCCACGTGTGAAGCAAAACTCCCGTTCACGGAATCTGCCAAACACCTCAATGCAGCAGCACCCTCCGAAACACACGGTATTGAGACTCAGCGAGGTGTTCCTTGACAGTACAGAGAGTATCGACGTGGAAGATGCACGCAAACACACATCGGGCGGTGATGGCTACGCACGAGGGCCTGTAATCCTTCGCTGTGGAGGCGGTGAGAGTTGGTGGGTCACCACGCCAATAACAACATATTACGAGGCTGCATTACGCCATGGGAATCAAGGAGTGGCAATATCCTGGCACGCCAGCAGAATGCAGTACGGCAAAAGTGTGGATTGACATTGTCTGTCCCTTCTGTTTGGGATAAAGAGTTGCCCCCTCGCACGTGTGGGGTTTTTTCCGGGTGCTCCGGTTTCCTCCCACATGCAACATAAACACTCAGTAATTGGCTGAAAACATCTTGATATATAGGGAACTGCGGAACAATCGTTGGCACCTGCTCACCATCTGGCAGCCTTCCAGCTTGGTCTGTGGTTCCTCCTAAGCGATCGTGAGATGCAATTACGCTGTTCTAAAATTCATCATTACATTTTTTTCCATTTATCTAAGGTTTTACGATCATCTGTGTGTGCTGTTGTTTGCCAATTGAGTGGCTGAGTTAGCAAGGAACGAGCGCTTGTGCATTGTGCGTTCGTGGCCATATCCCTACAATGAGCACCAGCAATTCTAGCCTCATTCGGGCAGTATTCCTAGCTGCACAGTTCTCTCCCCGATGTGCTTTGCAGGTTGTGCCGAAAACTGAATGGAAACATTCAGTTCCTGCAGAAGCTGCTATTAAAAAACAAACTATTTTTTTTATTTCACCAGGTAAGACCCACTGAGCGATATAGCTATTTATTCAAAAGCAATCTAGCCACAAATGATAGCTCAACGAAGTGGCTCATCATATTGAAATTTAAAGCAGACAAATTCTCTAAACAGGTGTTGTTGTTTTGAAATGTGGAGGGTAAACCCGGAGGACCCAGAGAAAAATCCAGGCGTCCATGGGAAAACATGCAAAACTCCAAATATACAGGCGTCAGGGTCGAGATCGAACCCACGATCTCCTGCGTAGCAGGCGAGGCTGTTAACATCTTCTAGCCACTGTGGTGCCCCAGCAGGCGGAGTGAAACGCCAAACGGTACGACCCGACACACACCGGAGAGCTTCACCGGCACAGCCCCGAACACATCCGCGGTAACAATTAAAACACCCGCGATTTGATTTGTCAATATTATTATTATGTTCCTTTACTTGCACAGGACAGCCTCACTCAGTCTCAAAATTCTTATTCAGGAGGATACAGCTTAAGTTATTCGCCGTAGGGGGTGATGTTGCTCATGTGGGTGTGTGTTTAATCCCAATGGAGTAATATCCAGTGTAATTTTTCAACATTGGGATATGTAGGCCAATACCCAATTACATTTCATCATGGGACCTCCTTTGCCAGTACCAAAATATGAGAATAGGTTTTCCCCTTTTTTCTGGCAACAAAACAGGTGTTAGATGTTAAAACACCAAACTGAAACATTTGACAAGGAATCATGTCTGCATTAACCACAATACTTGTGGTCAGAATACAAACGAAAAACACACTGATAATATATGCATTGTCTTTTAAACTGATTGGTCCACACCAGAGACAGCTTTCTTAAGAGCCTCGTCTCAAACGGTGTTAGACCAGAGGACGCCAAAAGGCGTACACCTCAAAGACAGTTTCAAAGACAATGCATATATTATCAGAGTATGTTTTTTGTTTGCATTTTGTTGCCAGAAAAAAGGGGAAAAGCCTATTATCATATTTTGGTGCTGGCAAAGGAGGTCCCATGATTTAGATACTCATCCCGAGCTCTGATTACTTTGATAGTAGCATTGTCTTTGAGCTGTACGCCTTTTGGCGTCCTGTGGTTTCACACCGTTTGAAACGAGGCTCAAAAGAAAGCTGTCACTGGTGTGGACCAATCAGTTGCAAAGACAATGCATATATTATCAGAGTGTGTTTTTTGTTTGCATTCTGACCGCAAGTATTGTGGTTAATGCAGACATGATTCCTTGTAAAAGGTTTCAGTTTGGTGTTTTAACATCTTAACACCTGGATTGCTGCCAGAAAAAAGGGGAAAACCCATTCTCACCCAATTACAGTGGTGCGTGTTTTATTTTGTAAGCCAAATAGAGGTGCTGGCTGCAGCACGCACAAAGATCACTCATATCGCCTATAGCAGACTGTTGGGGCAAAGTGCTCTTAGCGAGCACCTATTAAGGCCGGCACGGTACAACGATGGGGGTGGGGGGCTGACCAGCGACCACGCCTACGAGGCTGCCTTGGTTTCCCTCCCCAGCAGCCGGTGTCGACGCACCGCAAGGAGGCTACTCGTTCAAGGCCGAGTGAACACAGCACGCGGTGCTGTGTTTCGGCCCGCGCCCACGCTTGTTTGTGTGTTTTGGGGCTCGCGCTCTTGTGCCTTTGTTGTGCTTCTCGCCGAAACGTAATTATCCTCGTAATTAGCGTAGCAAGCCTGGCGAGAGTGGGGGGGGGGGCTCGAGCCGTCGCCTCGCCAGCCACCTGCCACACCAGAGGCCGCTGACGGCGATCTCCACCGCGAGTGAGCGTGCGGGCGAGCGGGGCGAGTGTTTTTGAGCCGCGCGTGTGCTCCAGCGGCGGGGCGTGTTGTGACTGCCGTGCGGTTAATTCCATGCAATTAAACAGAGGCCAAAATTTTTTTCCTCGAATTAGCTCGCTCGTCAAGGGGTTTGGTTCAGCCACCGAAAGTGAACACCTGCAGCCTCGGTAATTTTCCTGCGACGGGGATGTGAACCCGGCGTCAGAGGATGTGTGTTTTCCACTCGAATGTCCATTGCCTCCCCCAGGAATAAATTAAACCGTATTCTCCCGGATTGTAAGGTGCTCTGGAAAGTAAGACGCGCCCCAAATGTGTGTCCGGTCTCAATAACAATACACCAATCTGGTCACACACACAAACATCCACAACATTTTATTTAATAATAAAAGGGGTTCGCTTGACAAATATTTGTAACTCCTGAGTCTGTTCTGACAAAAGCGCATTTCGTTGCCTGAAAATCTACACCCGTGCAAATTAAACTAAAACCCTAATTCTCACACCACGTACCACCGTTCCTGGCGAAACAGCTGCTCCGATCGCTTTCAGTACAGTTCCCAACTTTGACGGAACAAAATGTAGCACCCTGGGTCTAATCCTCACCCGAACCGTAACGATAAACGCGAACCTATAACCTTAACTTCTTAACCCAGGGGTACAAATTGGTTGGAGCGGAACAATTGTTAGGGGAGAAAACTCATTTCGGTTTTAACCCTGACCCCAGCTCCGACTCCTGATGCAAGGTCACCCAACGCAAGGGACACATCCGGCTGTGTGCACGTGATCCTCTGCACCGGGGGGGTTTGTCAACTCCGGCACGAGCGGCTGAAACACGATACACGTCTGGCCTCGAGTAACCAATGTAGTGTGTAAATATCAGCGCCTGGGGGGTGGGGGGGAAGGGAGGGGCTCTTTGTGTCTTTTATGTGTCCTTAGTTAGAATATCGTGTTCATTTCGATTGCATGTATACATATTTTATTGTGTTCTCGTGTCTGGCAGTGTGTGTGTTTGCGTGAGTCTGTGTGTGTCTCAGTGAGCATGAGTGCCTGCATGGGTTTTACATACTGTGCCAGAGTTGACATATTTTTTCTTTTTGGCTTTTTTCTTTGGGTTGATCACCTGAAACACACAGAAGACAAAGATCCCCCGTTTAGCCTTCACAGACTTTTGGTGCTGTCAGCGGGCACCGGTACACACACGCTCACACACGAGAGCCAATGGAGACCATTGACAAGACAAATAGCAACTCGCTCACGTTTGTAGAGGTCGATACAAAAGCAGCACGTGAGTGAATAATAATAATCCAGAATGCACACCAATTATCGCCAGATCTCGGAAGCTAAGCGGGGTTTGAGCCTGGAGACTGCGCTGCATTGGCCGTCACTTGTTCCGTAAGAGACTGGAAAAGCTCGGCAGGGCTTACGACCTGGTGGGATAGCGTTGTGTAAAATCTTTAATAAAAGGCACAAAGACCCACGTGCAGAAACACACACGCAGCGATCAAATGATGGTCCCCACCCCCATAGCCTTATAGATTTCTCGGGCGAGTGCAGTTAGCGAGAACGCATTCTCGAAATGAGATCATTTATTTAGACTGGAGGAATCCGATGAGCTATAAAGCTCTTTTTCGCAGATGTTCAGTAGGGGCACCAGATTAGAAAAATAAATACGAAACAATTTTTTTTTCTTACCAGCTAAAGCCAACTGAGGTATTCTTTTTCAGACGCGACCTGGCCACAAATGAGCTCAACAAAGCGGCTTAAAGTGTGGAAATTTATCGCAGGAAAACAATCAAAATAATCTGAACGCATGTATATAAATCAAGATGCGCGGCGAGAAAGCGGTGCGGTTAGCAACCACGCCAGCTTCCTGTCCCCAGTGCGGATGTTTGAGGCTGAGTCGACCTAGAGGAAGCCTAGGACCGGTTCACATATTGCTCGCCAACAATGTTAGCCGAGGCCAGAAAATTGAATAAAGGTCACCGGGTTCACGGTGTGAAGCGCTGCATCCCCGCTGCCCACGCACACCACTCTCCGCATACACACGCACCACTCCACCACACACACACACGAACTCGGCAAGGACAAATATCCCGCACGTCGCCTTCAATGGACAATTGTAGCCAATGCTGCTAGCGAACACCTATTCAAGCCGGATTGCCACGCAAGCGAACGGCATGGCCACAAACGCGGCCGGCCACCTCTGCCTCCCCAGATGTTCGCACGCCTCACCAGGTACTCGTTTGAAGCCGAATCGTCATGGGGAAGGCTCAAAAATCTCTTCTGATACCATCTCCTCACTGATGTTAGCTGTGGCTGGGAATCGAATTTGAGACGTAGCGTGAACCACCGTACCACCACTCGCCAACACACACACCGCTCCCAGCAACGGCTGCCTTCATTCGCCACAAAGTGGCGGTGATGCCGCCACGACGCCTGTGCCAGGCTAGGTGCACTTCGAGGCCACGTGAAGTGTCCAAGGATCGCACACGTTCACACACACACAGTGTTCACCTTGTGTACACAGACAAAGACCCCCCCCCCCTCCCTCTAGTTGCATCATACTTTTTAAGGCAAGTGCTGTTAGCGAGCACCTATGAAGGCAGGCACGGCACACGAGGGGATGGGTGGGTGGCCAGCATCACACCCGGCCGCCTTTGTCTTCCTTGGCATGATGTTTACACACCGCACTGGGTACTTATTTAAGGCTGAGTCAACCTAGGGGAATCCCAGGAACACCTGAGATATACGTCAGGGATGTTGGCCGTCAGCGGGGGTTGCAGCGCAGTGCGCTAACCACGACAATTGACTACTATATTTACCCAAGAATGTCTGTGTGTAACGCGCGTGACGTCACTCCACGTCGACCAGCCCCCCTCATTAATAATCATGAGCAGGTTACGTCCTCCACATGGACACGCTCCTCATTAATAATCATGAGCGGGTGACGTCACTCCACATGGAGAACCCATCCCCCTCATTAATAATAATGAACAGGTGACGTCACTCCACATCGAACAGCCCCTCTCATTAATAATCATGTGCAGGTGACGTCACTCCACATAGAACAGCCCCCCTCATTAATAATCATGAACAGGTGACTTCCTCCAAGTGGACACCCCCACCATTAATAATAATTAGCTGCTGACGTCACTCCACATGGGGGGGGGCGAGGCGCCTCCTCCCCCCTCCTTGGCGTCAACTCACAACCCTCACTACAAAGGCAGAACCCTCACGTCACGTGATCTTCGTAACGCTGTTGTTGAGACATCAAAGTAAAAAGGACGTCGTGATGAACAAGGGATTATAGCCTTTAATTGAAATAAGTCTGTGTCACCGCGGCCTTACAAATTGCACGCGAATTGATGCAATGAATATATCACGTCGCCGTCTGCTTTTCGCTTGCAAGTTTTAGATTTACTGCAATACACTCGTCCTTGGGCGGGCAAAAAGCAAGTCATCATATATATAAAATAAAGACACACATCCCCCGTAGAGCCTGAACAGACTGCTGGGGCAAGTGCTGTTAGCGAGTGGCACCTATGGAGGCTGACACGGCACACAAGGGGGTGGGTTTGCAAGCACCACGCCTGGCCGCCTTTGTCTTCCCAGTGGCGATGTTTACACATCGCACCAGGTACTCATTTGAGGCTGAGTCGACCTCAGGGAGGCCCAGGACAGTTGAAGACAAATGTCACTCACTTGTGTTGGTGGCCGTGAGCGACAATCGAACTCATGTGGCTGGGTTCGTGGCACAGGTAAGGGTTACACTACTGCTCCCCACGATATATACACACACACAGACATAGGGACAGCTCAAACTAAATTTGGAACTCATATATAAATTACAAGTGAATCATCGGTGGATTAATGGTACCCACCAATGCCGTGTCATCCACCTCATGCTGACACACACACGGCCTAATTGAGCAGACATGGATAAGCGAGTTTCATCTTCATCACTGTCCACCTCTTTTAATCTGGCTCCTACCCACACCGTCCCCTGATGGGGCCGCTCGGAACCCCAATGTCCATCGCTCGCAATAATCGCCCTCTGACAGCTCAGTACGCTATTAGCCCGAGAGAAAGGACGGTACGCCCGCTGGAAGGAGCAGTGATTGAATCAGCTCCACGTGCGGGCGCTGAGATGGATCGTGAGATCGTGAGGGATGGAAATGGCTAGGGGCGGATGCCTTCTTCCAGCAGTGCATTCCATTCTTTTCCTGTGTTTATCAATATCCTCAGGAGCTAAATGTCGATGTCGAGGTCTGCTAGCCACGAAAAGGCTTCAGCGGAGGACGAGTTCACGTAGTTTTGCTATTCCACAATTGAAGCAGCGTAGTCTACAGCGGTTTACTACGTGGTCACAATCACACTACTGTGATTGTGACCACGTAGACTACGGGCGATGTTGCACATTGGCCTGGTGATGCTCCGATGCTGTTGATAGTTATACACCGATGTCTTCGAGGAGGAATGTGAAAGCCAGGAGGTGCGATAATGACGTTCGTCTCGAACGAGGCGTTTATTCCTCGACGTCCGCGCCGCTCCAATCTGTTCGCCAGCGTCCCTGATCGTGGCCATGTTGTGCCGAAGCTTGCTACCTGCTGCCGCGGTACCCTAACCTCCCCCATTCGCCCCGTTTCCCCTCCCTCCCTGCTTCGACTCCTCGTCTGCCTCTCCCCTGCCATCGTCCTCCGGCATCCCCTCCCTCCCTCCGTGTTGTCACCTCACCTCGTAAATGTTGAACTGGTTCTGTCCGCGCGCCAGCTCCCTGTAGCTGGTCGTGAACTCTCCGATGAAGTCGTGGCTGTTGGGGGTTGGCGGGGCCAGGGCGAGGAGAAGGAGACATCAAGCGCAGGGCCCGGTGGCGTTCAGTCATTTTATAGTCGTGCAGCGTTTAATGCGCAGCGCGACAAACCCTAGCACCTGAGTTCGATTCCCGCTCATGGCCAACGCCAGCGACAATTATCTGAACCGGCCCTGGGCCTCCCCTGGGTCAACTCAGCCTCAAATGAGTACCTGGTGCCACTGGGGATACAAAGGCGGCCGGGCGTGGTGCTGGCCACCCATCCTGTCGTGTACCGTGCTGGCCTTCATAGGTGCTCGCTAACAGCGCTTGCCCCAACAGTCTGTTAAAAGCTATACGGGGCATCTTTTTTTCAGTTCACAGAGCTTCTAAACATCTTATGATTTAAAGCTTTCGTGACTGCAGTGATTCATATTCTTGGTTCTTTCGGTAAAGTCACGTTGAAGGGAAACAATAAAATAATAAAATATATAAAACAATAAAATTCTGACGTTTCGACTGTAACACAAACAGTCATCATCAGGTGTGAAAACCAACGGCAAGCACATTTGAAAGAAGTGGCGGTTTGTATTTATTTATTTTTAAACGTTAGCACCACGGATAGCGATTTGACATTTGTTTAGAAGGACGAGTCCATATATGTTCGGAAAAGAGGAGGGGGGGAGACGAAAAATAAATGTATGCTGTCTGAAAGCCACCGTAAGCGTGAACAATCAATTAAGACCCGAAATGGTTTATCAAATCCTTCCAATGATTGCTAAAACCGCCACTTCTTTAAAATGTGCTTGCCGTTGGTTTTCACACCTGATGATGACTGTTTGTGTTACAGTCGAAACGTCGTGAGAATTTTATTGTTTTATATATATTTTATTATTTTATTGTTTCCCTTCAACGTGACTTTACCGAAAGAACCAAGAATATACTTCTAAACATCGTTCGGAATTATTTTTTTAAAGTCATTAATCATAACAGCTAAGTTTTAAAGGTGATGGTTATGACACACAAACCCATTAATGAAAATTAGCAAAAAGGGTAAATCATAATTTAGATTTATCATGCGCCCCTTGAAAGATGGACGTTAGATCGCCATGCATGTGAAGGAGAAAGTAATAAAGTGAGAATCGGGGAGAGAGAGAGACTCAAGAGATGAGGCAGAGAACGAGACACAGAACCCATTTCAAACACGTGCTCGGGGAGTCTTCAGCCGGAAACTTAATGTCTAGAATTCTTAACCTCCGTTATATGTAATTTATGGTGTAAACAACCGTGGAAGTTACGCAATAAGACGTACGATGATTAAAACGTGAGAAGAAATATAAATCTCGAAATAGAAAATAAGTTGTAACCCACGAAACAAAATCGATTCACAAGATTGTGTTGTTAAACAGCACTGGCTGCCTGGCGGTATTTGAGCTTCATTAACCACACATTGACGGTTTAAATCTGGTAATTAAAACTTTTGTTGCCTCTGGTCATCCATAAGTTTGTGTGCAGACTCTGTCTGTACACCTCGAGCTGTGTGCTTAACATAGAGACCGCAGGGGGGGGGTTATATATTTATCCGTTAACACGTACAGGGTGGCCACAAGTCCCTTTGCATGAAATTAATGTTTCGATTTAAAGCTTTCGTGACTGCAAGGATTCATCTTCTTTGGTTCTTTCTTTCTCATTCTACGTGACTTTACCGAAAGAACCAATGAAGAGTATTAATGTTCTCCGGCGCTTTATGCCCTCCGAATGCGGGAATTATTCGAATCAGGAATTCGGGCGGACAATGGATTGGGAGAGGATCTGATCTGATGTGACCGCCCCCAAGCCCAGACGTGACAACGACGGCGATAATACCCCGAGGAGAACACACTTCACACTCAAAGATTGACAAATGCATTATTGAGGAAACTCCAAACAACAGCCATCATCCACTTGAAAGGATATGCGAAGGAGATCTTGGGCACGAATGCAGCTGCGTGCCCGATGATGGAGGGCAGCCCATGGGGCTGCTCGAACAGAGCGAGGGGTTTGGCCACCAAAATATCACGAAAAAAACCCCCTCAATATTTCAAGAGCCGCAATGCCCTTCATAAATAACGAGTCACGAAGCACAGTCCTTCAAGAGGCGGCATGCGGCTCCGCAGCCGCAGGTTTGCCGACCCCCTGGAATCGAGGAACCGTACGGTACGTTATCTTTTTTCCCCCGCCATACAAAGGGACTTTGCGGCCACCCTGTGCAGCGCTGAGTGCACGCGAGGCACGACGGCGCTGACAACAGTCGCCCCCCGACTTCCCCCCGCTTGGTCTCCTATTCATCCACCTTCTCCCCGGCCGCCTTCTCCACTTCTTCTCTCACGACCCGTGCCTTCTCACCAAGCATATTCGTTCCGTGCCCCCCGTGCCCCACCGGACGCATCCCTTCATTTGCATCTAAATTTTCCCCCAGGCTTTTGCCCTTTGAATTCCCCGTGGCAAATCCGATTATTTTATTGCTTTGTGTCCCCTCCAATCGGGGTGTACTCGCGAGCCAGATCCTCCTGTGAAGTCCAGCCAATGGGAAAGCGAGCACCCGACAATTTGAAATTTACTCAACAAATATGGTTCACCCCTCGGTGTCCCTTACACATGTCGAGTGCAATATGAAGTAACGGTGATTGGTTTGTGGTGATAATGATTATGGATAGGATTATGGATATGTGATGATGATAATGATGACTGATTTATGATGTATAATGATGGTGATGAACATGGTAATGGATAAATATATTTAAATGTCAATTACTGACATTCCAAGTTATATTTAAAACGTTAGGCTGAAATTTGCCCTCCTCTTGTATTTCCAACTGTCTAAACCCTGTATCCTGTGACTTTTGACCTTTGATGACATGTACACTATATTAGTTTCATGACACAAGTCTCTTATGAAAAAAAGTTTAGTTTCAATGCCCTCCACACATGCTCATAAATTAAGATTACCGCCACTACCTACACCCCCCGAGAGCAGAAGTGGCCAAACTTTAACAGACCGAGAGCCAAAATGTACCCATGAGTTAGTATTCGCCACAGCACGGGAGACATTCATTATTCTTTGTTACTGTGATAATATGTTCTACGTTATCCCCCTTAGATAGAGCTGCATGTGGTGGATTAAAGAGCCTCATGTGACTCGGGAGATGCCGGGTGGCGATCGCTGCTCGAGAGAGGCTCTCCAGAGCTTCCAATGGTGGAGGCCTTTCCACCAGCATGTGGCTTGAGCGAGACACAGCAGGGCTGCACAGTTTGACCCTCTACCGCCACCGCCGCCACCGCGCCAACGCTGCCACGCTGCCTGGTACACACGGAGTCCTCCGAGCCCGTTCAACAAAGTGGCCCACCTGCCGTCTCGATCCCAGTCGTACACGTCCACCTTGATGGTCCTGCGGAGGCATGGGAGGTGGGGGCGGGGGGGTGGGAGGGTGCGGGGAGGTATGACGCGACAAGGTCGGCGAGCCGGGAAACATCGCGGGGACACGCGCCAACACCTAAGACCACGCGGGAGTCGATAGGCGCAGACGCTGCTCGTCCACACACGCAGGCGCGCGTCACCGGGAGGACACCGAATACGCTGACGCCACCCGCGTCTATTTCAGGGACGATCTTCAATTTCGGCGAAGCCAAGGTCGTGGCGGTGTCGTAGAGTTCACGGGTACAAAGTTTAGGGTTTCCGTGCTCGGGGAAAATACTAGGATATGCACTTTGATCCATTTATGGACGCCCCACTCATAATCAGAGGCGGCCGGGTGGCTCAGAGGTCGCGGGTGCCAAGTTGGCACCACTTTGGTTCCCGGCTCCAGTCCCGGCAGCTGCGCCCGGGTTTTTTTCTGGGAAGTCTGGAAGAGTGGGCCAAAAATACCACAGAGAGATTGGCTCTGTAGAGCTCGCTGTGGTGGACGCCCTTCCGCCAGCAGTCGTATGGACACGCAATTGCAGGGCTGCACTTCTAAATATTTACATTTTGTGAATTCCACGTGAATGGAATCAGAGCTTGGAAAACAGAATCCGGGGGTCACAGAATTTAACACAAGCATCGTTTGGGCTTCTTCGGCCTTGTATAAATGTGCTCACGACAGTTAGCTGGTGCGATACACAGCCAGCGTGGAGGAATTGGACAAAACACTCTCAAGAGGGGCTTTGTAGAGCCCCTCTCGACTGGAGGTCATTTGCGCAGCGGTGGTGTAAGCAAGCCATTGCAGGGCTGCACCTTTACCAATTCCATTTCGTATCGAATCGTGAATAACAACATCGCGGCAACACTCCCACGAGCAGGATGCCCCACTAGCCAAGAGAAGGCGGCGTTCCTGGCACGGTGCCAATGCGAGGCAGATAAACCCGCTGTGGGTGGCGAGAGGTTAACTACCTCGCCTGGTATGGAGGAGGACCTGGGTTCGATACCAGAGCCTGACGCCTGCGGTATATTTGGAGTTTGTATGTCTCTCTCCCCGTGGTCGATGGATTTTTCTTCGGATCCTCCAGTTTTTTCCCTCTGCATTTATAATCAACATGGGTTTAGAATATTTGGCCGCTATACATTTCCACATGATAAGCCACTTCGTTGGGCTATTATTTGTGGACAGGTCGTTTCTGAAAAAGAGCTATATAGCTCAGCGGGGGCTTACCTGGTAAAACGAAAAAAATAGAATATGTATAAATATACATTTATAGGGTGGCGCGGTGACAAGTCCGAGCAGGCCGTGAGTTCGAACAGCCAACACGGCATTTGTGAGTTTGAGGACATGGAGAGCCGTTATGAGTGCCACGCCCGTGGGGATGCCTCGTGAATCCCATTCACGAGTCCACCAGGATTCCCGGTGACGCCTTCAGGGTGGGAAGCTAACACCGTGTCGTGAGGTGTTTGTGCCAGGACACGTCGCTCAGGAGAGATGATGGCCGACCGTTTAAAAATAATGAAGGAGTGGCGGCGGAATAGAATGGAGTGAGCTCGTGAGGACGCACCACTGAGGAGATGGAGCAATGAAATCAGCTGGTTTGCACGTGCTAGGTGAGTACATCGCAGGAGCACGGTAGATAATGGTGGCTTGAGGGATACCTTCATCCAGCAGTGGATTGATCGTGATTAATAAAGTTTACACCTGAGACCAAATCACCTAGAGTGTGTCCATTCTCTAAACTATGAAGGAAACTAGATTTATTTTACAAAGTAAGGCCCACCGAGCTACATAGCTCTTTTTCAGAAGCGACCTGGCCACAAATGGCAGCTCAACGAAGTGGCTTATCACGTGGAAATGTATATCAGCCAAATAGTCTAAACACATGTTAATTCTAAATGTGGAGGGACAAACCGGAGGACTTGGAGAAAAATCCACGCGACCATAGGGAGAGAGACATTCCAACGCAATATATACAGGCGTCAGGGTCGGGATCGAACCTATGACCTGCATACCAAGTCAGGTAGTTAACATCTTACCACCGTATCCCCGCCCCCCATGTCACGCTGCTGTCACACTGCATGTCAGGCTGCATGTCAGGCTGCATGTTATGCTGCATGTCTCCACGTCCTGTGGCCTATTTCCCATTTGTCAACTGTTGCCATGTTCCCGTGGCCTCTGGGAAGCGTGCCGGCGTGGCTTGCAAACCGCAGAAGCAGGCACGGCCTAGACTCCCGTGGCAGCCTCGCAGAAACAGTCGCCAGGTCACGGGGTCAACGATGAGGAAAGAGGCGCGGTCGATTTTGTTCCTCACTAGGCAACGTCAGGTTCTTGTTTTCATAGTAAACAAAAATAATCACCGAGATAGTGTTACCCATCCCAAGCATACAAACAATCTTCTTTAAAACAAACTAAAATGTAATCATACAAGCTCTTTGGTTCTTTCGGTAAAGTCACGTAGGTATAAAATACAAAATGACTTTATACCTACGTGACTGCAGTCCCAAAAGCTTCAAATCGAGATGAATAATACAAAGGCAAAGTGGGACAGGGCAGAGGGGTAGGGGCTGAGCTCACGGAGCTGCACGACCCCCTGAAGCGCTGAGACAAAAAAACGAACCGTGCCAGGCGGTAACGAGAACAGGCGAGGGCACGGCTTCGGACCTGCTTGAAATTGGTCGTGGAACACCGCACACGTGTCCCCACACCCCAGGCGACGGTATGGTGCGCTGCGTGCTCCTCACCTGTCAAAGTCCCCGTTGCAGAGGGTGCGCACGGGGATGCTGAAGGGTTGCCACGCGGGGTTCAGGGTGTTCTTCACCACCTCGGTCTTGTGCGAGATCGTGAACCTGGGGGAGCAGCACGCACGGTTTGACGACACGGTGGCGATTCCTCGTTCAAAATCGATTCTTGGGCCCGCGAGTTTTGCGCGAGAATCAATTTTTTAAAAAATTGCATTCGTGCTAATTATATGATCGTGTTACATTTTGGATAATGGGGCAGGCAGATCGACAACGAACGGGACAAATAAAATGTGGGAAACACATATCAGTCAACCCATACTGTTTACCCATAGTCTTGTACAGGGAAATTGTGTTTTTTTCAGTTCATAAGGCATACAGCCGTTTCAGTACGGGCAATATAAAAACATATATATATATTTGTTTGTGTTTCTCCCTTGTGATGGGACTTTATAGGATGAACGTTGAGATTCATAAGAGCACGGTGTAACCAATAATATCTGAATTGGTCTGCAATAAGACAGAAACTGATAAGGGGTTGACAGGTATGGAAACAATACAAACGAAGATGGTAAAAACAAGGAATCTAAGAATGTGTCCCTGAATTGAATGTCATCCCCAACTCGCGACAAATTTTAGATGGCGGATAGGAATGCACACATGGCGTGAATACAATACAATTTGCATTTATATAGCTTCTGAATGTGACCGCACCTAAAGACGCTGTACAGAAATAGTGTGCATGATTATTTTATAGAGAGGGGCAAACAGTCAAAGGCAGAGGAAAAAAAGGGAAGGTCCTGAGCCTGAATAGGTGAAGGCTGGGGGGAGAGAGTTTCAAACATATGGGGCAACAGAGGAGAATGAGTGACCTCCCACTGAGTGAAGGTGGACTGGCGGGTTCGACTGAGAGTCTTGGTTGCTGGGGCGGAGAGTACGTGGAGGGAAATGTGTGTGTGTGAATGTGTGCGTACGTGTGATAGCATAACGGGGAGCGGTGTGGTTGCGGTAGAGCGGACTCTCCTACGAACCTGGCAACCCGAGTTAGATTCCCGTTCACGGTCAACACCAGTGACGATTATCTGAACCGGTCCTGGGCTTTCCCTAGGTCTGCTCAGCCTCAAATGTTGCGGTGTGTAAACATCACCACTTGGGAGACAAAGGCGGCCGGGCGTGGTGTTGGCCACCTACCCCCTCGTGTGCCGTGCCGGCCTTTATAGGTGTTCGTTAACAGCACTTACCCCGACAGTCTGTTAACGCTATACAGGGGATCTTTGTATTTGTGGTGGCATTGTGGTTACTGAACTGTTCTATGGATCCAACAACCCATGTTCGATTCCCGCTCAAGGCCAATGTCAGTGGCAATTATTTGAACCAATTCTGGACCTCCCCTAGGTCGACTGAATCTTAAATGAGTACCCTGTGTGCTGTGCAAACATTAGCACTGGCGGATAGGCATGGTGCTGGCCACACCGCCCCCTCACGTGCCGTCTTGGCCTTCATATATCTGCACTAACAGCACTTTCCCCAAAAGTCCGTATGTTCTATACGGGGAATCTTGGTCTTTTGTATGTGTATGTAGGTGGGGAGCTGTGGTGTAGTGGTTAGCGCGCTGCGCTACAACCCGAGTTTGATTCCTGCTCACAGCCAACAGTAGTGACGATTATCTGAACCGGTTCCTGGGCCTCCCCTAGGTCGACTCAGTCTCAAATGAGTACCTGGTACGGTGTTGTAAACATCGCCACTGGGGAGACAAAGGTGGTCGGGCGTGGTGCTGGCCACCCACCCCCTCGTGTACCGTTCCGGCCTTCACAGGTGCTCGCTAACAGCACTTGCCCCTACAGTCTGTTAAGGCTATACGGGGGATCTTTGTGCACTTGCCACTGTGGCAACTTGCCACATTGGGGAACACAGGTAGTGTATCACATCAGCGAGTCATCTCAGGCAGTTAGCCCATAAGACTTGGGTCCGCCCCCGGCGAGCCTTCCAACACTTCACGTGGCCTCGAAGTGCACCCAGCCTGGCACAAGCGTTGCGGTGACGTCACCGCCGCTTGGTGGCGAATGGCGGCTGTTGTTGTTGCTGTGGTGAAAACTCACGAGCCGTCCTCATTGCTGCGGTAAAACACGAGGAAGGGGTCCGACTTGCCGAAGAAATCCTTCTTGTCCAGCTTGTTTCCACAGAACTGCATGGTGGCAATGTCCTGGGTGGGCAGTGGGTGGGTAAAGGGGCCAGGTGAGCTCACCCACTCGTAGGTCAACAACCACAACCGCCGCCTCCGTCGAGAACCCGAACACGATCTACGACTGGGTGCATCGGTGTTCCCACGTGGTTTCGGGTCGCTGCCGCGTGCCGTCCGGCATGACGCCCCGACGTGTCGCTAAACTTTGTCAGAAGCTCGCTCAGTTCCTGAAGTGACGAGGATGATGCTGCTGCTGCAGGCACGTGCAGCGAAACGTCGGACGTCATGCAGGACAACCAGCGGCACGAACCGAAATCACATCGGAGAGCCCTGAGTATAATTCCCTCCTCTTTGGTTCTTTCGGTAAAGTCACGGAGGTAGAAATAAAATAAAATAAAAACACGACGTTTCGATCACAACACAAGCGACCTTCATCAGGTGGCACCGATACAGCAGGACAACCGCTGACATAGGAGAAAGAGCTGTTGACAACAAGAGTTTGTAATTTCCTCACTACAAAAGTTATATCCATAATGCACTGTGCCAGCAACATTTATAATTTAACCTTTTAGTAATAGGTGTTTTATTATTGAAGGGGTTCGTGCACACTCAATAACTACTCTGAGTGTAACTCTTCATATGCCAATTTTTAAAAATGTTAATCGGTAAAATATTTAAAAATGCAATTTGCATCGAGCCCAACAGTGTTAAGCGCAGTCACCAACTCTTTATAATCCACTCCGTTTCTTCAGGCCACTGGCCGAAACGTCGCCGATTGTACACTTTACCTTTCATTGACACACACAAGAGTGTTACTGAGGAACGTGTCGAATTTTTTTAACACATATATTATACATAATTCCCTTCTGTAACTCTCGACCAGCGCATGGGCATTGTGGTTTTGCTATTCAATGCTGGCGCACAATGACATCAGCAGCAACAGCAGCAGCAAGGTGTTTAGTAGCCAGATGCCAATGTCGAGGCACTGCTGCTGGCCACGACGAGAGGGCTTCATCAGAATGAGAGAGAGTGAAGTTTTGCTATTCGCGGGTTGCTTACACACGCTCCGTAGTGTCTAATGCCATCGCACAGGGATGGATATCAAGGCCATTCAACGACTCAACGCCGAGTGTATCAGTGGTAATAATGTGATGTTGAGACCCGGGGGGGGGGTCCCAGCTATTCCATTTGATCAGTCTTGGCGTCACGAAAATGAAAACATCTGTGTTTTTTTTTTGGTGTGAACTATGATCATTGAGTGGACGATAACCATCGAGGGACTACAACTGCTGCCCACCATCATTTACATCATCACCATCATCATCATAATCTCCACTGCCACCATCATCATCATCACCACGACGAGACTAAACTAACCGAATCTGAGTGAAGAGGCAGACCAGGATAATGTAGTGGCGTTACTAGACACGGCAGGGCATAGAGGAAGACTGAAAATGGTAATTGGGAATGTACTATTTGTATTTAACAAGATTCACCGACTTCATTGATTGGCTGGCTGACCTGAACATGCTGGTGGGGGAGGGGGCTGGGGTTAATTCACATCCCTAACACCGATATTTAATAGCTGAGAGTGTTTGACTACGATACAATTCGACTGCTTTAGTCGACGACACAAAGAAAAATCCACCACATGGAACCCACAGACTTGACTGTAACCCACGGGACAACTGGACGGACTATGGTGGCCACAACTAACATCACCATTGCCGTCGTCATTTGCACGGTTTCTGTGACACTTTGCAGTGCGATTTTTTTCGTGCTGGGACATCTTCACGAGTGGCAGGCAAGCCTGACCGGTGGCTGCCAGAGTCACAAATCCGGGTTTGCACATTTGAACCAAGCAGTTGAAGCCCAAACCTAACCAGGGCGTCATGGGGAAACGAGTAACAATCATCGCTACCCGCGTTAGAGGGGAACCTGCGTGTCCCTTTCATAGAGGTGTTCTTTGGTGAGATTTGTGTGAATATAAATGCATCGTTAATCCCGCCGCTATCCTACACAGCCAATTAGTAAGGTTTGTCACGATAACAAAACATGCCAATTAGTTACCATTTCATCACCACCGGCGTGTTGGAGAGTAAATCCACAACATTTACAATTCGAGTCCGTTTCCCTGAGTGTGTGGGGAGTGGCGGCGTAGCGATTAGCGCGCAGCGCTATAAACCCAGCGGCCCGGGATCCATTCCTGCTCACGGTCGACACCAGTGACGATTATCTGAACCGGTCCTGGGCCTCCCCTAGGTCGACTCAACCTCAAATCAGTACCTGGTGTGGTGTGTAGTAAACATCGCCACTGGGGAGACAAAGGCGGTCGAGCGTGGTGTTGCTCACCCAACCACCCCCTCGTGTGCCGTACCGGCCTTCATAGCACTTGCCCCGACAGTCGGCTAGTGTATGAGCGTGCGTACGTGTCTCCGCGTCAGATGTATGTGTCTCTGGGTCTGCGTGCGACACCGTCGCTGTGTGTGCCCTCTGTGTCTGTCTGCCCAACGAGGGATTTGAGAGGGGCCGGGGTGGGGGGCTGATGGCTGTCCGCTGCCGTATTGCGCAACCCATCGAGAGGGAAGGGGGGCGGAGTAGTGGTGGGGGGGGGGGGCTGGATCGGCCACTGATCTCGTGCTGGGACTCTGCCGTGGCGATTCATTCACCACTGGTAGCGAAGCACCGATCTACTGGTCAACAAATTATCTTTCATCCATGCTCGTACGTTTTTGACCCAGAGTTAGATCCAAATCCACAGTGGAAGGAGCCGTGTTATATGGGTTCGATCCTGACCGGTGTCTGTTTTGTGCGTGGTGGCGTGGATTTTTCTCTGGGACCTTCGGTTTTCCCCTCCACATTTAGAAACACGCGTTTAGAGTATTTGGCCGCTAAACATTTTCACGTGATAAGCCACTTCGTTGAGCTATGATTTGTGATAGCCAGGTCGCTTATGAAAAAGAGCTACACAGGCCATTGGGCCTTACCTGGTAAAATTTAAATGTCAATTTTTTCCGAGTTAAATTCCACCCCCCAGCATCCCCAGCTCTCTCGGCCTCCCAATTCCAGCCCCACCCACTTCCACCCCCCCCCCCCCCGGCCTTACGTCCCTCTCCTAGCGTCCACACAGCACCCCCCCCCTCTCTCTCCCCCCTTGCCCCTCCCCCCTTTCTCACCTTTAACCTCTTACCACGGCATCTCTCTCTCCCACTTCAGTAAAAATGTTTCTTGCTGTGGTTTCCCCACCTGATGATGACTGCTTGTGTTGCAATCGAAACGTCGTGATTTATTTTATTTTATACCTACGTGACTTTACCCGAAAGAACCAAAGAGTATGGAAATTAAAATAGTTTATAGTTTAATCGTTTTTGATAAGTAGTGCGTTTTGCGCTGGTTTGAGACTGCAAGTTTGAGTGAACCCCTTTAGGTCAGTTTGGCAACTTTTCTCTCCAATACGTCGCTGATGGTAACTTAACTTTAAGTAAAACACTTATTTATTTACATTGGACCACCATGGCGAGCATGACCCCATGCTGCGGGGGTCATGCGCGCCAAGGAGCCAATGCCTAAATGCTCGTGTCAACCAAGAGCTGTGAAGCGTCAAAAATCAAGTTTAATTTGAGTCTCCGGTTCAGCGCATAATCCGCCACCGATGCTGTTAGCCACGGTCAGCAGTGGAGCTCAGGCGGCCGGTGCCGGGCTCCTAACGTGGCGCCCGTAGCCACCTCACCGCCGGTGACTCTGTGCACGGACACAAAAACGAACGCCAGCCCTGGATCTTCGTGCCACGACACGGGCGTTGATTGCACGAATAGTGGCTGTGCGATGTAGCGCACTCCGCAGCCACACACTTGCAAGTTGCCTGGGAGCATCGAATCAGGCCGCACGCTATTGATTTGAAATGAGCTCTTCCCTCGGCAGGAAACGAATGCATTTGTGGCGAAGTTTAATTTGAGTCTCCAAGAGAAGAATTAAATAGCCCAAAATTGAATTGGCCCTGGCTTGCGGCCTGATCTCGGAGGGCCAGTGGTGTGTGAGCATTTGCGTGCGTGGGTGGACACAGACATATCGACAGAGATCTGCCGTGTAGCCTAAACAGGCTATGGGGGCAAGTGCTGTTGGAGAACAGCACCTACGAAGGCCGGCACGGCTCACGAGCAGGTGTGGAATGCCCAGTAACACACACCCGACCGCATTTGTATCCCCAGTGCTAACGTTTATACAGCACAGCAAATGCTATTGTTTGGCTGAGTCGACCTAGGGGAGGTACAGGACCTGTTTAAATAATCGCCACTGACGATATTAGCCGTGGTCAGGAATGGGCACTCAGGGTTGCCCGGGGTCAGTATCGCCGTGCGCTAGCTGCTACGCTGTCGGTGGGAGTGCACACGCGCACACACGTGCACACGCGCACACACGCGCCGGTGATTGTGTGCGCACCGGTGCAACCAATTTGTCTTTACTTAAACAAATGAACGTCAGAGCGAAGCTGCTGAGAACCCCCAGCAGCCTTGCAGGTGGCTAGAGAACGCCCGCCCACCCTCCCAAAAAAAATAAATGAGATGAGAATGCTCCCAGTACAATACTGGCATGGGAGCATCCAGCTGGTAATGAGTATGATTCCGTACGGAGGGAAACGTAGGTGAAGGACTGGGAGCAGAGGTTTTGTTGTTACAAGTGCAGGCCCTGCAATTGCACGCTCTCACCGATGCCGGCAGAAGGACCTCCACCAGAGATTTTTTTCGAGAGAGCTCATATAGAAAGTAAGAGGGTCAAACTTGATTTGAAGCTTTCGTGACTGCAGAAATTACTACACACAGCTCTGTGTGTCTATGTTGTGTATCTCTCTCTCTCTGTCTGTGTTGTCTCTCTCTGCTTGTGTGTCTGTGTGTCTCCGTGTCTCTCTCTCAAATTTAGTTCTACCTGATGACGGTTGCTTGTGTTGCAATCGAAACGTCGTACTCTATTATTTAATTTATTTTCTTTCTACGTGACTTTACCCGAAGAACCAAAGAGTAAATGAAGTGTATTTTGGCCTACCATGACACGCTGACCAGACGTCTTATTTGACGTCTGAGTACACATACTGGGTATCCCACCGCTTTAAATAAATCTATATGAGCTGAGATTTTTGTTTTTACCCTCCACATTTAGAATCAACACGCGTTCAGAGTAGAGGCCGACCGAAATTCGGTGTCGGCGCCGAAAGTTGGCAAATGGCCTCTTTCAGCAAAGTTAACTTTCGGTTTACTTTCGGTTTCGGTTGAAAGTCAATTTTTAACTTTAGGTCTGGTTTCGCTTTCGGCCGAAACCAGAAATTCAGTTTCGGTCGGCCTCTAGTTCAGAGTATTTGTCTGCTATAAATTTCCACACAATAAGCCGATTCGTTGAGCTATCATTTGTGGCCAGGTCGCGTCTGAAAAGGAGATACATAGCTTAGTGGGCCTTACCCGGTAAAATAAATATAGTTGAATATTTATGATAGTTAAATTTAACCTCTAAACACTGTTGGGTGAACGGAAGCGGTGGGAAAATTTAAGAAACGCATTCATTGTTTTCAACTGCCATGCCAAGAGATTGGCCCGGAGATCCCCCAGCGCCAGTGTGCTCACCAACCCCCAAAAGAATGCACTTCGGAGAAGCTCCACATTGCAACGGAGAAACCATACGTGGTCGCACCCACGTGACAATTCAAGCGTTTAACCACAAAACCAAACTGTCACAAATGGAACGATCCACACTAGTCTATAAGAGACATCTCGAGACTCGGAGAGGCTTTCCCCGGGTAAATAAAGAATATTATTTTTAGATGTACCCTGCTCTGCTGTTGACAATGCTCGTATTACATTTCGACGTGTTGAATCCCACACACGCAGGCATCAGTATTGCCTCTCCGGCGATTCACAAAACCCACTGCTGTTGGCCAGATGGGAGGGGAGGGAATGAGAGGCCTCACCCGACAGTTTCCCAGTTCCTCAGCCGTCAGAATTACGCTCCCACATTTCTTTCCAGGTATTCCCCTGCTCACACACGAAGACAAAGACAAAGCCTTAACAGACTGTTGGGGCAAGTGCTGTTAGCGAGCACCAATGAGGGGGTGGGTGGCCAACACCATGCCCGGCCGCCTTTTTCTCTCCAGTGGAATGTTTACACATCGCGCCAGGTACTTATTTGAGGCTGAGTCGACCTAGGGGAGGCACAGGACCAGTTCAGATACTCGTCACTGGTGTTGGCCGTGAGCGGGAATCGAACTCGGGTCGCCTGGTTTGTAACGCAGTGCGCTAACCACTACACTACTGTTCCACAGGCACACATACCCACACCCGAACACACACACGGGAAAATATATTCTCTCACTCGCACACTCCCACACTTTATTTTTGGCAGTGAAGTCCATTATTGTAATGTGCATCATCCCAAGTGCAAATTGTTAGGAGCGTGGGGCTGGGTCCCACTCAGGCATCGCTGTGCCTTCTCTGCCAAAATTATGGTCAGATTGACAGCATCGGTATCTATCGATCCTGTCAGAGCCAGGGATTTTCTTCAAGCATTTTCCGATATGTTTGGTACTATTCTATACTCGAGTATGGCAATGTGTTCAGGAGCAAGATGCCAATGTTGAGGCCTGCTAGCTACGAGAGGGCTTGAGGAGAGAGCGTTCGTGTAGTTTGGATATTCCTCCTCCACTGCAGATTGCAGTGGTTTACTACTTTTGCCGTTCGCAGTTTGGGTCACGTGGCCACAATCGCGCTGCCGTGGCTTGCGTTTTTAATTTTCCATTCATGAAGCGGCTGCGAGCATCGGCCTGCGTTCGATGTTCTTACGAGGTTGATGGTTACGTCACCGGAGTCTTTGAGGAGGAATGTCAAAGCCAGGAGGCGTGCGATTTTTTGCGTCTCGAGTGACGTGTTTCTACTGGACATCCGCGTCGCTCCACTCTGCTCGCCAGCGTTCTTCCGGATCTCGGGGCGATATTCCAGGATGGTGGCAGCAGCAGCGCGATCGGGACTCCCGTCCCGAGTGGTGGAGAGGTGACATCGTCGAGGTCTTGGTTGACGAACGGGTGGTTGTCGCTTGCAAGAGCACGTCTAAACTCCCTTGCTGTGTGCGTGTCTCTGCGGATGTTTGGTGGCAGAATGTTCGGTGCCGACGCCCACTCTTCCCCCTCTGAGCGCGCGCCGCACGAACTGCACGGCCGCGCGCTGCTATCCGTTTGGCCCAATCACAGAGGGGGCCGGTGACACCGCCTCCTGCCTGGAACTCACCCAAGGGGCTTCTCAAAGCGGCTCCCAACTGAGCCCACCACCTCGCCCAGTGAGCAGAACGCCTGTCCAAGGAAGTCCTGCACACGCACGCACGCAAAGACCAACAACACAAACGCGCGCACGCACACGCACGCGCACGCACGTGCACGCAAGCACGCGCACATACACCCACGTGCATATGCACAAAAACAAACATCACGTAGAGACGTGCGCACGCACGTACGCACGCGCACGTGCGCACACACAGACACAGTCACATACATACACGAGTGTGCACCCATATGCACATACACGCAGATGCACACACGCACGCACATACACGCGTGCACACACGTACATTGACACGCAGGCACACACACATATACAACAAAAAGACACACACACACACACACATACGCACGCATGAGCACAACAAACAACAGCAACAAAAGCAGCCAACAGTCGCCACAAAGTGACGGTATATGTCACTACAGCGCTTGTGACAGGCGAGGTGCACTTTGAGGCCACGTGAAGTGCATACGAGTAGGAGGTCACGGGACAGACCCAGGCGTTATAGGTGAACTGACTGAGATAGCTGCCGCATGCAAGATTGGTGCCCAACAATCGCACGTGCAAGAGATCCCTCGTATAGCCTCTTGCAGACACGCACAACCACACACACATTGACGCACACACGCATGTGCACACACAGACACACATTCTGGCACTGCACACACACACAATCCCAGCGGCCTTTGGCTCTCCGCTTCACAGACTGCTTATGTAACGTCGCTGTTACAGTCATAACCGTGTTAACTGTGTACAATAAAGAAACAAATCACCTACACAATTACCGCCATTTAAACCATTAATGGAAATTATGGGCTGTTTTCACGTACGTGTGTTTTGTGTGTGTGTCTGTATGTGCGTGTGTATGTTTGTGTGTGGGGAGCGGTGGTGTAGCGGTTAGCGCTGTGCTGCGTTACGAACCCGGCGACCCGGGTTCGATTCCTGCTCACGGCCAATACCAGTGACGATTATTTGAATCGGTCCTGGGCCTCCCCTAGGTCGACTCAGCCTCAAATGAGTACCCGGTGCGGTGTGTAAACATCGCCACAGGGGAGACAAAGGCGGCCGTATGTGGTGCTGGCCACCCACCCCCTCGTGTGCCATGCCGGCCTTCATAGGTGCTCGCTAACAGCACTTGCCCCAACAGTCTGTGAAGGCTCTATGGGGGATCTTTGTCTTGGCCTTTTTGCAGGTGCCACATCTGTGGTGCAGAGGGTGTGCCACAATGCACCTGGGGGGCTGAAGCATTGCATTGCTTTTATTCGATGCCATGCGTCACAAGACATCGGTGACACCCAGGCCTGTTTCCCCATGTGGCACACCATAGAACCCAGGATGCATCTCGCTATAGATTGGGGATTCAGGTTTCCCTTCGCTCCGTGCCAGTTCGATTTGTGCGATTTTGCGGATATATGCTACAAACCAATTTCTGCTCTAATTTCGCTCTCATATGCGGCTACGCGGTCGGATGTGGGACAGCGTTGTGCGTGTACTGTGTGCGCTGCTCGGCAGGCATCTGTCTCGTGCGGTTTTTCCTTTGTGAGCCCTATTTTTGGAAAGCATCTATCACATAAAGTGAGGGAAACCTGTGCTGGTCAAGTTGCCACTTACTCCTGGCTACCAACAACAACTCAGGAAGAAATGATCTGAGTGAGACCACCGCTCTGTATATGTGAGTGTATAGGTCTCTAGATATGTCTCTGTAAGCTTACGCTTGTCTAAGTCTACGTTAAGCCTTTGGGTCTCTACGTGAGACCAGGGTTTCACTTCAGCCGGGCCAATCTGTCCGTGAAATATTGCCCTGTGACCATGGAAATATTTTCACTCTCGTCACGACCACATCCAGTTTAACCTCTCGCTATGGCTGTGGCTACTAGTCACGTGCTTACGCCGGTCTACCAGCAAGAAACCAAGCCCCGTTAATTTGGGTTTGCGGGTGTGTGGGTGTGTGGGCATGTGGGTGTGTGGATGTGTGGGTGTGCATGTGTGTGGGTGTGCGGGTGTGTGGGTGTGTGGGTGCGTGGGTGCGTGGGTGTATGGGTGCGTGGTCGCATGGGGGTGCGGGCATGCGGGTTTGTGGGTGCGTGGGTGTGCGGGTTTCTGGGTCGGCCGTTGGCTGTTTGCGGTGCAATGGGGTGACAGCCAAGAATGTCCACGCTCCGAACGGTTCGTGACATCCAGCAGGGTGTGCGCGGTGGGGGTTAGGAGCAACGGTGAGGGGACTGACAGGAACGGGTTGCGGTGCGGGAACGGAAGGAGCCATCGAGGAGGAGGAGGAGGAGAGGGTGTATGAAGACTTTGGCAGGACGGTGGTGGGAGGGTTGAGGGTGCTGGTGGTTCAGCTATCAAAGGGAAGGAGTGGTTCGTGGAGGGAGAGTGTTTTTTTGTTTTTGTTTCAAATGTTACCTTCTGTTTATTCCCAGGGGCAGTGCAGACAAAGATGGCACACAGGTAATGGATTAGGTCAGCTCGTGCGTGTGTGTGTGTGTGTGGGTGCACGTGCGTACGTGTGCCACGGTGTGCGCCAACGTGTGTGTTGTATCGCTCGTTCCTGCTGAGAGCTTCTTCAATTCAGTCCCTGAAGAAGCTCCCGGTACGTCGGGCATCGTTGCGAAAAACAACGCGCGGCACGACCCGAAAACCACATCGGAGAGCAGCGATGGCCGCAATTGTGAACGTATTTATTGAACGAAGCACTCTCGTGTCATTGTTTACCATTACATAACTCGTGACGGCAAGTGCCAGCAACTTTGCCAAGTGTGTGCTCACTGGGTGAGAGAGCACGAGGCATGTGCATGCACGCACGAATGAATATATGTATGAAAGTGGGCGCGTGTGTGTTCATAATCAGCCTCTAATGAGTACCTTGTGAGGTGTGTTAACATTGCTACAAGGAAGACAAAGGCAGCCGCGCGTGGTGGTGGCCACCCACCCCTTCGTGTGCCGTGCCAGCCTTCATTAGGTGCTCACTAACAGCACTTGCCCCAACGGTATGTTAAGGCTATACGGGCAACTTTGTATTTGTATCACGAGTTAACTGTACGAGTGACTCACATGCTTGGAGAGGTTGGAGCTTCGTGAATCCACATCAAACCTAAAAGCCCAAAAAAACAGAACGAAAACAACAAATGGTGTGACTTAGGTCATCACAACGCAGAGAGATGAGGTCCTAGGCAACACACAGCAGCAACATACAACAACATAATCAACGGCGAAAATTTTAGGTTGACTAAAAAATAACCCCCCCCAAAAAATGCTTCTACTCCTGTGTGGCTGAGACTGAAAATGGAGTGGCAGCCAAAGGGCGGAACACTCCCCGAGAGGGAGTCTACCGCAGAGATGGAGCGATGAAATCGGCTGGTGATGACGACGATGAATTACTGCCACTCACACGGCGAACGGAGGTGGGGGGGGGGGTGCATCGTCGGTGCGGTAAACAAGGCGTCGGTGCTCCGGGGAGAAGATGAACACGAGATGTCAGAGGCCGTGAGATGCGGTGGGCGTGCAGTCATCTCGTTCACGAGCTGTTGCGCATTATTAGGGGACGGCTACGCGGAGGGAGGGCTCTCATAACTCCTCGTGCATTGCGCGGGGATTTGCGCGGCAGCTTCATTTCAACCACCCGCTCCGAGTGCCCGGAGTACATCTCAGAGGGCGTTTGCTGCGCGGGGATCAGGGGTGGCGACTGGCGGGCAGCGGTGCTGATCGTTCATCAATGAAAATCGGCCATTGCATTACGAGCGTCGAATCCAACGTCGTGATGATCCCACCTGATACCTGGACATCGCTCACACCTCTACACTTCAACGCCTTCCTCCCGCCTCCCCTCTGTTAAATAAATACGTCAGCTGTTTCTGTACAGCGTCCCGAATCACGTGTAGTCGCGGGGTATACAACGATATTATGTTGCACGAGCATGATTGTGTTGTGTGTGTCGTTGTGCGTATGCAGCCGTGCGTAGCCAACTGTGGCTAATCAGAGGTGCGGGGGAGGGACAATAAACTGAACAAAAAAGCAGTTCTAAAAAAACGAGTTTTCAATCTAGATGATGATGATGATTTAAAAGCACGTAGCTCCGTTGGCTTCTTAATGTAAAAAATTCCATTGGAAATTTTAGTTTAAAAAAAATCGCCCCATTTGTACCATCGCGTTTGTGTTGTTTCCCATTCATTTGCAATATCGGTCTACTTATCCAGTCATGTCAGTGCGCTTCCACGTTGTTGGACGTACATCTCAGGCGATTCAAAGCAGCGGGGCAATTGGGAGTGGAATTGTGAAGTGGCCCTTTGACTGCGCGTGGTTCTCGATGTCAACCGACCGCGACCGCGATTTACCAAGGAATAGCGTGTCCACATTTCTCGACGAGGGAGAAATGCTCGTGAAAATGCCACGGTGACGGACGTACCCGTGTGGGTGTCAAACCATTGCCGAATCGAATTAATAAGCCGTTTGTCGTCAAAACTGGAAATAATTACCCTCAACATGACACCGACAGGTTGATTGTCAATATTTTATTGCGAAGCCACCCCATTTGTGAAACTTCCCAAGATCGTATAATTTGCACACACCATTTGGGGTAAGTTTTTCGAAGGGCCACATTGCTACGCGTCCAATTCAACGCGCACATCGTGAGCGGGGAAGAATCGATCTAACGAATCGTGGCGCGCCTCGTCCACGCTGCTGCAACTCGCGCGATGTAACCGTGAGCGCGACTGCGAGGGTGCGTGCCGGGGGGTGGGGGTTGATGGGAGCGAGTTCGAGTGACAGCGTGACCACGCGATGTGGCATTACAGGTCAAAGCGGAGGTTCTGCCGTTCTTCAAACAGGTAGTCCATGATGAACTTCCGCACGAAGTCCGGATTCAGAGTGTTGTCGATCACCTCCGTGCGGCCAAACTGCCGACAGAAACCACACCCGCGCACACACCGTTCCCAAACAAAGACAACCCTCAGCCTTTAACAGACTGTTGGGGCGATGGCTGTTAGCGAGCACCTATAGAAGGCTGTACAGCACACAAGGGGATGGGTGGCCAGCAACACGCCCGGCCACCTTTGTCTCCCTAGTGGTGATATTTACACATCGTACTAAGTACTCAATTTGAGGTTGAGTTGACCTAGGGGAAGCCCAGGACCTGTTCAGATATTCATCAATGCTGAGAGGGAATTGAACTCGAATTGTCGGGTTCGCAGTGCGGCACGCTGTGACACTACCGCTCCCAGAAACACACACACACACAGACACACGCACACACACACACAGACATATTGACACACACGCATACGTTGGGAACGTAAATTAGGAATTAACCATCTGTTTGTTTAAATTTGACTACGGTCTTGTCTTCATTCGTTAAGCAAATTTGTTTGTATTTTTTTCAAATTTCGCCAGCGTCATAGAGTCCAAAGAAGCAGAAAGCACAGAGCGACCTCTGAGATCCCTCCAAGTCACCTCTGGTGCACACAGAACAGAGGACAGTGCCCTCCCACCCACTCTACATTGGAGAGTAACATTCGTCACATGGCAGTCAAAACGATATTTTTCTTCTCAGAGCTGGAATGTATCCAAACTGATAAACCGAATGTAACATGATCGTATTTTTGCTATTCGCTACCGGGATGCACAGCCTGCGACCATTGGCTCACTGCGATTGGCAAACCCGGGGTGAAACCCGGGTTCGAACCCAGGATCTCTGCAGTTGTTTGGATCAGCACGGCAACCTCTGCTTCTTTGGGACGCTACGACAATAAAATTAATTTTCATTTAAAGACAGGCATTAGGGCGTGGCGTGGCAGACAGACGGACACAGATAGACCGCAATGACTGGGACTGAGAGAGAGCAACTTACCTCCCGCCACTCCTGGCTGCCTACGGCTTGGACGTACATCACGCAAACTGGACACGACAGAAGGAAAGGGCGGCAAGACACACGCACAGATCAGCAAAGCGTTAAGTTAACGCGCGATGGCCCTGGCGTCACTCCCCCCACGGACAGGCAGCGAAAAAAAGCCACGGGATTACGCGCCGATTTATTTTTGCTCAACATTATTCGAGAGGGTGGAACAGGCTTACACATTCCTTAAGATGTTACGGCCAGGGGCTTAATTTCTCCCCCCCCCCCCGAATAAATGTTCCTGCGTCGCTGCTCAACCGGAGTCAGTGGCACACACGTGACAAACGGTGGCTAGGGCGCGCAGCGAGAGGCGGATTTGGATGCGGTGTGCCCCGGTGTGGCAATGTTTTCCAGATCACCGAGCCGGGCAGCCGGACCCGGCTAAAATATTGAGCCCTGGTTATGCAAAAACCCAGGTGGCTCAGTGGTAGAGCGAGCGCCTAGGCATCGGAAGGTTGCGAGTTCAATTCCTGTTTGAGGGTTCACTCAGCCCATAGTCACTCTGGAGTCGATAAGCTACTCATCTAGGTTGTCGCGATCGATATTATCCAAGTGACGACATCACATTCATCCCTTTATTTAAGACCGAAACAGGAGGATTTCTCTACAACTCTGGCTGTCGCCTGACGAGGCTGGTTTGTAATTACCGGCGAAATGTTTTGCTCGGATTGTAAAAGTTGTGGGTTTACTCTCCAACACACCGGTATGTTGAAGTAGTTACATACCTGTCAACCCCTTATCAGTGCCCTGCCTTATTACAGACCAATTCAGACCTTAATGGTCACCTCGTGTCGTTATACATCTCAACGTTCATCCTACAGAGTCCCATCACAAGGGAGAAACACAAACACATAGACAATTCTTTTTGCCCGTATTAAAACGGCTGTACGCCATATGGACCTGATAACTCAATCTCCCTGTACAAGGTTACGGGTAAACCGTCTGGGTTGACAGGTTTGTAGTTACAAATTTGCATGTTTTGTTTCCGTGACAAACCTGACTAATTGGCTTTGTTAGGTGGTGGCAGGTTTAACGACACATTTATATTTACACGATCTAACCCAATTAACTGTTATTCTTGGTTCTTTCGGTAAAGTAACGTAGAAGGGAAAAAATAAAATAATAAAAGTATTAAACAATAAAATTCTCAGAGAATTTCATTGTTTATAAAACAATAAAACTTTCAGATAATTTTATTGTTTTATATTTTTATTATTTTATTGTTTCCCTTCTACGTGACTTTACCGAAAGAACCAAGAATATGAATCCCTGCAGTCACGAAAGCTTTAAATCCAAATAACTCTATTATGGATAATATAGGCACCGCCGTGTGGGGGAAGTGAAAAAAGTGGTGGTTCTTTGGATGGACTTGCCCTCGTCATATGAACGTGTAATTTCCGGCCACTGTCTCAATGCTGCAAACAGGAGATAACCACCGGCTTGCAGCTCGTTTGAGCAAGAAATCACTTTGGCTTCTTACAACGCTCGAGATCGCGTTGTCTGAGGCGACGTTTGCCCAAGATGGCTGCTAAGCTCGACGACTTCTACGCTGACTGAGAACGCGGACGACGGTGAATCCATGCAGCTCACCGGCCAGACGCGATGTAGTGAAACTAACAATCATCACAACGACGCGACTCGCTCAGGTCAGCGCCACCGCCAGCTACCTCCGCAGTGGGGGAACCCGGCCATCCGCTCGAGTCGATTTGGAAGAGCGGGAAACTTGCTGACACGCTTAACGCTCTCCCCGAGACCCAGGTCCAATGTTCTTGGGCTACTGGAGCCACAGGACATTGAGTAGGTTTGGCCAGGGCTGCCACTGATTAATCCCAAATGTTTTTAACTGTCGCGTAAACGTTTATTTTGTTTGTTTAAATGTGCCGCTTACATCAAAGTCAAAGTGATTTCCTTGCTTACATGAGCCAGTTGTGGAAATTCCCAATCATATGGTGAAGGCAAGCATTTCCATAGAATAACCGCTGGTGACTTCCCCATGAAGCAGTACTTAATTTTATTTACCCTGGTGGCATGATGGGCTGCCTTAAAATTGCGAGCCACTCCCTCTACCGCTGAGTCAGCAAAAAGCCAGGCTGGCATCTAAAGGCAAAGTAAAGTGGCATGAATACTATCTCGATGGCAGTAAAAGTCAATGTGTTCATATTTAGCACATTTTTCGCAGGCCAATGATCCTACAGTCGAGTAATCTCAATATTCTGCCGCAACAGACGTGCTGGACCAGTTATTTATCGTGCCAAATGTTTGCTTCAATCGTATTTCCCCAGCGAAAAGGGTGCCAGTGTCTCCCATCACCAACAAGGGGGCAACATTTGCCAAGCAGCGGTTTTTGTTTTTTGCTCATTTTGTAAAGCGTGGCAGAGTCGGGGCACCAACAGCCGCCTCCGCCGCCTCCGCATGCATCAGAATGTTCACGGCGCCTTCCTTCACGTGAACGAGAGGAGCATTCGTCCCGAGTTCTTACAACCTTGGCTCAATTACGGACACGCGTTAACGGTCACCGATTATAACCCGAAAGGTGCCGCTCGTTGCTGCCCGCTTGGTGTGTTTGGGCCTTTGGATCCGTGCTTAGCACCGCTGATTATAAGTACCGTGCATATGAACGTATACAGCATCGCAAAGTAGCCGGACAGCACCTTTCATATATAATTGAGATCCGCACAACAGCATAGTGCATTCACAAAACAAATTCAAGCAAATTCAGTCCCATCGTAAAGCATAATTATATATTTTTGTAATAATGCAATATTAATACTTGGGGTGCACACACACCCCATGGGGGTGCGTGATCCCCATTCTGAGAACCAAAGGGGTGCAGGCTGCAGCGAAGGTCAAGAACCACTGCTCTATAATATATAGCACACACTGAGTCTCGAGACTCGGTTTTAAACGGGTTCCTCTCATGGGATGTTTGGCCAATCTCATTCATGAACGATGGATTTTTAATTGCGGAGGCGAAACTGGTGCACCTGGAGAAAACCCATGCTAGCAATAGGATGACAGAGATCCACACAGATGGATTCAAGCACCCCGTCGCTCCTTGGTTCTGTCGGTAAAGTCACGTAGAAATTAAATACAATAATAATAGAATACGACGTTTCGAATGCAGCACAAGCAACCATCATCAGGTACAAATGAATGAGAAAACAAACCTAGTAAACTTGGAAATATAATGCAATGCAACACAGAGAGTCGGCCAACACAACAGTCAACACCCCACCTGGTTGATTACAGTCTTCTTGTGAGTCTCTCTGTGCTTGAGTGTCTGTCTGTGTGTATCCATGTATATATTTGGTCTCTCTCTCAAATTTTGCAATCTTTGGAAGAATGTAATCAACCAGGTGGGGTGTTGACTGTTGTGTTGGCCGACTCTCTGTATTGTATTGCATTATATTTCCAGGTTTACTAGGTTTGTTTTCTCATTCATTTGTACCTGATGATGGTTGCTTGTGTTGCAATCGAAACGTCGTGTTCTATTATTACTGTATTTAATTTCTACGTGACTTTACCGAAAGAACCAAAGAGTAATTCCTGCAGTCACGAAAGCCTCGAATCTAGTTTTCACCCCCTTGCTGTAACTGCCATCTCTCAGATGCCACACGATCTACCAACTCTTGCCTCCCAAGTGGTGGATCACAGGCACCGTGACCCTCCGATGAGCACGGTTGGCTATGTACGGTGCGAAATAAGTTCAACATTCATACGCCGTAGGTCATCTCAACACCGTCGCATTACTCGGCCACGGCTATCAGTGGTGTAGCGAGCATGACAATGGGGCCCTGGTGCAATTTCTCATTCCCCTTAGTAGCCCGGCACCTGGGGGTCCTCTTGTCCTGTGGGTCCTGGCACAGCTGCCACCGCCAGCACACTCGTTAGTACCATGAGCCCACCCCCTTTTTTTCATTTTTACCGGCTGCTCCTGTGGCCTCTCATTGTGGGCCTTTGTCAAGGCATCACTTACTCGGGTCCGACTTGGAGAACGTGTCCATGTCCAGGAGATTCCTGCAGGAGAAGGGGGGGGGGGGCGGGGCGGAAAGGCGAGGGGAGAGAAGAGGGGTGGTGAATAGGAGGGGACATCAGAGGGATGATTAAGGGTGGGGGGGGGGGACAATGACAAATTGTGGGACCAATTCAGAGCGTGGAGAGATGAGGGGCATTACTCCTTTGACATCGGCGATCGTCCTACACAAAACACACGGTTGGCAAGGAGGCTGTACAGCCAGGCTAGGTCACTTAGGGGAAAGAATACATTCGCAGTGAATGTGGACTAATGAGGCTCAATCTACCAGCATTTCAGGCGGGCTCGTTAAATCACACCTGTGACATCAGATTCAGTGATGGAGGTCATGGGGCATGAACGGGGGGGGGGGGGGGCGGGCCGAGAATAAATTTGTGTCTCTTGCGGAGCGGTGCACCACTCCGGAAGGGGACATCATAGAGTTACCTCTGAGATGTCTTCAGTTACCGCTTCTACATGCACTATGGGGCAGCATTTTTCCACTCGCCCTGCCACAAAGACGACATTCAAAGCGATATATTTTATACTAAATAGAAATGGAATTTTCCTAAAACAAGGGTGAAGCCAGACATAATTTGACAAGGGTTTGTGTGTCTGTGTGCGTTCATTGGAAACTGAGCTGATGCGATCAACCGGTTACGTTTCAAACCCCTGTCTAATCATAGGCAGTGAGTTTAAACTCTAGATTCAAACCCAGCAACTCAGCTCAGAGCTCTGATTAATGCATTCAACGGTGAACCAGGGTCGACTAAACTCTTCACTTTAGAGGGCTGCGTTACGATAATGACCTGTTCGGTAGGATGCTCTCGTGGGCTATTATCTCATCCACATAATCAGCTTAACATTGACACGAAGTATGTCTCCATCAATATAAAAAAAAATGTCCAGTTTGCAGTGAAACACACACCACCACCATTCTCCAACAAGTACCGGTGATTGGTGGCATCATCACTCTGTCCGAGCCAAACCCGGTTAATAATGTTTGCTGCACATGTACAATTTTCAGACAATCAGTTGCCCAAAGCTTGGCAAAATCTGATCACTGCTGCCCCCCTCCCCCCCCCCTGGTGAGTAACAGGGTTGATGACTTCCAATCGGAGCGCAGGCAGAGGTCACATGGCCACCAGAGGTCCCGAGCACGGTAGACCAATCATTGTTCAGTCAGCGCACCTTTCGACAAGCGGTGTTTTCATTGGCCAGACGCAACTCGGTCACTCGATCAGGTCCCAGCAACGTATTATCATTTTACTTGCGGATGGGGGTTTCTGCTTGCTCAATTTTTACTGATAGGTAACTATTGGTAAGCCAATTTAAACTGTTTATCCGTAAGTAAATAATGTTTTTTTTATTTTCATCAAAGTGAAATCTCAAATTAATTTGACTTTCTCTGGCCTCTACGTCATTTTCTTTGAGGAAGGGCCATTGTCCAAAACGTCACCGATTGTATTTTTCCCTTTTTGAGGCCGCGATGTAACCAACAAACGTGTTGAATTTTCCTATACCTCTTATGGTTTATAAAATTTTGTTTAACCAGGGCAGAATTCAAGAGACCAGGATAATCTCATTCGCTAGAGTGACCCTGAGTCACCAAACTTGTTTTAACATACTTAAAGCAAAGTGCAGAAAGAAAACACAATAACAGCAGCATTATCATAATCACATCAGGACGAACTGGGTTATAAGCGAAATATAATTACCGTGCAAATACATCTTAATATCAGAAGAAGAAATATGTCTTATAATGTAATTTTGCTCGGTGAAATTACTATCACAGCGTTGAGAGTACAATTACGTGACAGAATACATGACAAGAGAATTAAGGAATGGAACTTCACTGTTAGGTACGCCACGCTTGGCTTTATGCGGGATATATTGCCAAGGAATGGAATACATCAGAGATGACACAACACCGAGGAGACGGAGTGATGAATTCAGCTCGTGTGTCACACACGAGGTGGATTAGTGCATCACAAGATCGTGAGAAGTTGCGTCGGGCTGAGGAGCTCTTCATCTAACAGTGGGGCTGAGCATGGATGATGGTGACGACAATGATAGAGACTGGATATATACACAGGTGGAGTTTAACTTCTATATTTGGGGGGGGGGGGGGGTGGCGGGCAGGGGTTCGCTTTGTCCCTCATTTTAGGAATCGAGGGTGACATAATTTATTTGTTTGATCTTAATTATAAACTACTGAAAACAAATTAATAAAGGTGCTCAGTTGGGGGGGGGCATTGCCCCCCTCGGTGCCCCCCCCCAAACTCCGCCCATGGATATACTGTTTATATATCAGTGTATCCTGATAAGCTGGTAAATATAATCTCTGCCAATGCCAAAGCATGCTACTTTCAGTTGCTCGGGGTAAATCCAAGTCCAACAACGTTAGTCGGCCCAGCCATTGTGCGTCTGCTGGGTCGCGGCGATGGCGGCTGACCGGTGTTTGTGGAAGTGCCGTCCACATTCTCAAAGCTCCCCTTAACCCCCCCCACTCCCCCTGGCTAACCCGAAGCGGTTTTGGCAGTTTAAGCTGGAACTTGGCAAGCAGGTCTGGGCAGAGTGAGGGCCAGGCGCGGCCCAAACATTACGCCACTTTTTTCAAATTTTCTTGCTGTGGTTTTCACACCTGATGATGATTGCTTGTGTTGCAGTCGAAACGTCGTGAGAATTTTATTGTTTTAAATTTGTATTATTTTATTGTTTCCCTTCTACGTGACTTTACCGAAAGAACCAAGAATATTACGCAGGGAGTTGAACTCAATCAGGGAAAAGAAGTCACGGTGAATTCATTTCTCAAGTGAGCATTTGAAGCCTCGATGCTCTTATCTCCCCTTCACAGCCCTGACTTGAGCCAGTGATGGAAATTCCACATTTTCCTGTGATGAATGTGAGTCTGTTCAGAAAAAGAAAAAAAACGCTGTTGACTTCCCTACAAGAGTGTGATACTTAATTTTATCGATCCCATGGGAAGGGACGCAAGCCCCAACCAGGATGTGAACTCGCAAACTTTCCGATCGCGAGCCCCTTGCTCTGCCGCCAGGGTCACGTGTGGCGTTTCACTCTATGAGGCATTGAATGGTGAATCAACGATGACAATCAATTGTTAGAATGCGTGCATTGATGCGTGTGTAAGAATGATTCACAATATGTTGCATTCTTCTGCACTGTATCTTCCCTTTTACCACCCCTCCCACACCCCTCTGCCTTCCTCCTCCCCCCTACCTCCTCCACTCCCCTCTGGGGTCACCCTTGAATGAGCTCCTTGGCTCAATGGGCCCCTATACCCCGATCTTAACGGTTATGCAAATTCATCTCCAAACAGTTACATTTTAAAGAAAAACAAGTAATACGCAGCGAACGAGACAGAAGACAAATGAGACGGCACGAACGAGGGGCAATAAGCATGGGCTCTTGATCGGATCGATCGACGGAATTATGGGGGAGGGAGGTGATTACAAACGAATTGGTACGAAGGCAGGCGATGTAAAAACCAGATAAAGTAAGTCTATTCTTAACCGGATTAAATATACATGTTTTTATTTTACCAGGTATTAAAGGCCAACTGAGCTATATAGATCTTTTTCAGAAGCGACCTGGCCACAATTTATAGCTCAACAAAGTGGCTTATGACGTGGGAATTTATAGCAGCCAAATACTCCAAAACGCGTGTTTGTAAATGTGGAGGGAAAAACCGGAGGACCCGGAGGAAAATGCACGCGACCATGGGGAGAGAGACACACTGCAAACTCCAAATATACAGCAGGCGTCAGGGTTTGGATGGAACCCACGACCTCCTGTATACCAGGCGAGGTAGTTAACATCTCCTAGCCACCGTGATGGTGATGATGAGAGAGAGAGACATGCAAACTCCAAATATACAGCAGGTGTCAGCGTCGGGATCGATCCCACTACATCCTGCGTAGCAGGCGAGGTAGTTAACATCTCCTAGCCACGGTGGCACCCCAGAATTGGAGAGACGTTGGATAATTACATGCCAATGGCACCCGACTGGACATGTGCACTCTCACATTCCGCACAGAATCTTTCGTCGAAGTTACATTTCACATCTCCAAACGCGTCGACATGTTTTTTCTCACTCGGGATTAATCTTTCATGAGAACCCCGGGGACGCTGCGCCCCATCGCTGATGAAAGTATCCCAGGAATTTGTTCGCTGGGGAGAATGGGGGAAAATTTAATCGCCATGACAACAACGAGAGGGCAAGGCGCAGCTGACAAAAATAACAACATCAATAGCGTCGTCGGAGAGACTATAAATAACGAAATAAATAACCAGACAATATGTCTCATCGTCTGCTTATTATTATAATATAATTTCGCGTCGAACTCGAGCCCCGGAGTGTAACGAGCGGGTCCTTGTCTGTAAGACAGTTCGCCAGCATTGATTGAAGCAAGCCTGACTCTGCTGATGAGACGCCGCGTGTCAATACCAGCCCAGAGTATTGCTTGCCTTGAAGCAATGCTGCTGGCAACACAAGCAGCCACCTTCGACGACACCGAGTGCACCTTGATAGGGACCCAAACACCGCCGTGGAGGGATATTTCCGGAAATGCATGCTCAGGCCAAACGCCCACAAAACAATGGTCCCCGCATTCCATCTCGAGAACGGGAACGCTTGGCGCGCACCCTGAGAGTGCCTTTTTTTCTTGCGACAAACACCGCACAACGTGCGACCAATCCTGGAGAGAGAAGCTGGACCCACGCGCCGACCTTTCCACGGCCACCCGAAGGAGGTAGCCACCAAGGCGAAAGCAAGGTTCAACCTGGTCCAGAAGCTGGGCCAAGCACACAAAGCTGGGGTGGGGAAGCACCGGCAAGGCCCTATTGGACTCACGTGCTTAACCTTCAACAATGCGACTTCAACCCCGATGATGATGATGATAATTCTTGGAAAGCCGAATGGAGTTTACAAGAAGTCGTGAACGATCCGACGACGCAGAAGATCTGTGGCCTCGATCTTCCACGAAGTTAATGGGGCACAATCCTCAACCGCGTCCACTGCACTAACCATGGACAGATGCAGACACTTGACGCACAAATGGGAAATTAACTACTCTCAGGTAAGCGACTGTGGCCACCCAGAACAGAAACCATGGAACGAACATGCAACGGCTCAAGGGCCGATTCACACGAATAAGGAGGCATCGTCACGTAGCGATGCACCGCTCCGCTCCTCCTGACGCAATCATCTGGCTCAACCACCTTCAATGACAAATTATATTTATTGCTCTGCACTTACGTAGGCCATGCCAGTGAAATGAACGTTTGCTGAAATTAAGCAACTACCAGAAGGGTTGTGTAAGTAATATTGTTGTTGCTGATATTGTTATTTTTAAAGAGACAGATATGGGGAAGAGATGTACAGTCTGCTCGTTCGTGTAGCGATGTAAGCCTAGTCCAGTGCAGTATTTACAAGTTGGAATGTAGCTGGAGATCCGCAGCCAGCGGTTGCATAACGTTAGGAAATACCACTGCGCCCTTTGCTCTCAGCGCTTGGCACCAACGCTCCACAGAGGGGGCGGTGACGGGGAGGTGGCGGCTGTGGATGGGACCGGAGCCACGCAGAAGTTCATGGAAGCGCCTCGGCAGAATGCCACGTGGGGCCCCGTCAGCGGTTAGCGACAAGACACAGGCCCCATTGTCGGGGGGCGTCCCTTTTGTGCGAGGCCCCGGAACATATTTTCCCCCTTCCCACAGCCCCCTCAATATCCCCCCCCCACCCCCTCCTTCTAGCTGGAACTGGATATGGCACAGGGCGTTGAGAAGAGCTATATTGGGCTGAAGTTGGGTGGGTCGTGATGCAGCTTGAGTATCACCTTGTTTAAAGGAGAGCATGGAGAAGCTTTGGGGGGGGGGGGGGGGGTGACGATGCAACAAAGCACAATGAAGCGGGATTGGTTGGGTCTCCATACAGCCGTCTGTATTCAGGAGTTTATGGAATCCCCTTACATCGAACATCGCAGCAACGTTATATTTACAGGCCACATGTTGCTGATTAGACTCGGGTAGGTCAAACCTGTCGAGAGTTTGCTGAAACTGGCTGTCGAACTGATACATGAATTCGTTTAACATGGCAAAACTTCCACGTGTATTTTATAATCTGCCGAGTGAGCTTGACAGAGTAGAATAACTACCAGAGTCCATGTAAGACCAGGGCTTAATATAAGCCGAATCCATCCAGATTAGTAAACTAGAAAATATTGTCTCATTGGGCACACCACATCCAGCAAACGTGTTGTTATGGCTGCGAGTCAGGTGCCACCAACTCCACTCTGTATGTATGCTGAATTTATTTTACACCGTACATAGCCAACCATGCTAATCGGAGGATTCTACCAGCGACCTGAAAATATTCAGTGAGAATTGAATCCCTGGATAGGACACTTAAGAGTAAACATTCTGGTGATGGACAGTTCAAAAACACCTTAAGGATGAGTCAAACGGTCAAAATATCAAGAAGAGACATTTTCTTCGAAATCGGTAAAAAAATACTCTTTCAAGAGCACTGTTGGTGAATACGAGATGCTGGTCCTTCATAAATAACGTCACGAAACAGTCCTTAAAGAGCCACATGCGGCTCCGGAGACGCAGGTTGCTGACCCCTGATCTACAGTGAGGGAAAAAATAATTTGATCCCCTGCTGATTTTGTACGTTTGCCCACTGACAAAGAAATGATCAGTCTATAATTTTAATGGGAGGTGTATTTTAACAGTGAGAGACAGATTAACAACAACAAAATCCAGAAAAACGCATGTCAAAAATGTTATAAATGGATTTGCATTTTAATGAGGGAAATAAGTATTTGACCCCCTCTCAATCAGAAAGATTTCTGGCTCCCAGGTGTCTTTTATACAGGTAACGAGCTGAGATTAGGAGCACACTCTTAAAGGGAGTGCTCCTAATCTCAGCTTGTTACCTGTATAAAAGACACCTGTCCACAGAAGCAATCAATCAATCAGATTCCAAACTCTCCACCATGGCCAAGACCAAAGAGCTCTCCAAGGATGTCAGGGACAAGATTGTAGACCTACACAAGGCTGGAATGGGCT